GATATTCCTTTTAGTATTAAAAGTATATAATATTATAATATTAAAAGTTTTATTATTATTTATATTAAAGGAAATGTTAAGGAATAATAATAAGATTAGTAAAGACTAGCTCTTTATTAAAGTAACTTATAGTATATAATAAAGGTAATATAATATAATATTACTAGACCGGCCGCTAGAGTTATAGACCTTTTTATATATACTGATCTGGCTGGTAAAATGTTACCTAACTGTATTTTAGCAAGCTTACTATTTGTTAGTTATAAGGCTTAGAAATAACCAATCTAGAAGGATTATATAGACGCTAGAAATCGCAGTAGTAATCTGTAAATCCTTTCTTTAGTAACTTTTAGTTTAAGACAAATCCGTTTAAGAAACGTTAATCCTAAAGCCTTAAGGGGAAGTTTAGTAGTAATTAGTTCTATTATTTTTAATACTAGTATTAACTTTAAGTAGATGCAGACAAATACATTTAATTCTCACGTTTAATATAATGAAATATAATTAACTCTTTAGCCTCTAACAGGATTGGGATATTGCTATAGTAGTTAAAATTAGTAGCGGTCCCTGTAGTTAGGGTAGCTTATTCTCTCTATACTACTGCCGCAATGAGGACAATAAGCAGTGGATATAGAGATATAGATTTTGTGATAAAGAGTGGTGTAGTGTATGAGAATGTGGAGGAATTTCTTAGCTTCTATGCTTATTTTAATGAGAAAACTGTGGAAGATATAGAGAGACATGTATAGTCTAGAAGGATCGGCATGGGTTTAGTAGGTAGTCAAGGTTCCACGATTCTAGGAAACACCAAGACTTACTGCCTATAGATATACTTTCCGTTGTTGATGTAGTAACAATGCTGGAACTCGGGGGAGCTTCCTGGCCCCCCCATATGAGGCGGTATGTTTTATTCAACGAAGAGTCTTTATCCGTGTATTATAAAGCATTCCAGGAAACAGGCGTTAATGAACAAAAGGCCCACGAGTCTAGTAAAATACACTAGGCAACAGATAGCCCAGCTCACTGTCAGTATAAGATTATGGAAATGGAAAACAAGTGGAAGACCTCAAGGCGAGAAGTTATCGAGCCCAAGGAGTATTCAGGCTCTAGCAAATACACAGCGTTGAGGCAAAGTGCAGGTTAGGCTAGCAAAGTGCTTGAACATTTGTCATCACCTGATCTTGGGTAACTGTATCGGCGGTTAGTATAGCGCGGGAACTGTATCGAGAAGGATGTTATTTTTGACTTGATGGACCTGATAGTGGCTGAGAGCTTATTCCGGCACAGAGAACTTAGTTGATTCTCACATTCCCGGCCTTGGTTATAGTCCCTTGAAAATTCTTATACGAAGAGACTATTGCTTTTGTAATCACCTTTCGATAATTCGAGTAGCTGTTTGGACATATAGCTGAGACTGGCATCAATATTGCTGTCTAAGGGGTCAAAATGTGCTGCTGACATAAATTGGGTACTGCCGCCGCCGCTTAGTTGGCATCACAGAAAGCCCAACTAACATACCCCTGCTTCGCTAGACACTCAGATCTGCCAGCTGCAGGAACCAAGAACTCCAGCATTTTCATCGAATTGAGCTGAAATTTACAGGATTGAAAAACGCAGTATAATATCATTATATATCATATAATCGAAAGGGATGCTAGTTATGAGCGATGCGGATCCAGTCTCACGAAAAGCGTTACAGATGGTCTACAGCTTAGAATTACGGGTGTGTTGGCCTGTTTTGAGGCCTGCTAGTTAGTGCCCAGACCAGTAAGATTTCACCCGGCAGGCTTAATCTACCAATTAGCATTAGTACACACAGCTGTGTTGTTTGGGCCTTCACTTGGGTAGAGTGAAGAGAAATGCGTTGTGAAAACGAGTTCAATACATCCAGTTTAATGTATATATCTTGTGGTAAAAGGCATTACTTTGCCTTTCCACATGCCTCGTCAGTATCCAGGAGCTACAGCGACATTTATATAAAGATCCAATCCAACAAGAGAAATCATGTGCGCCGACCGATCTTATTACAGGCCTCCCATGGGCCAGTGGCCTCAATCTCACCACCTAAACCTCGCCCTGCCATTGCGGGGCGCCAGAAGTTCCGGGGCGGGCGATTACCAAAGCTCTGCTACCAATCGGTACAGTGAAGCTGTCGGCCAGTGTGTCACACCCGGACCACCTGAATGGCAGGGTTCCTCAACTGGGGCCAATCCTCACTATCGAAGCTCATCTTGGTATCCTGCGCCTGCATACAATCACCTGCAACTGGACCTTCTGCAGCTCTCGACGGATTCGTTCAGGCGATGGGCACCTGGAGTAGAGTACAGCGCGCCACCGGATGACAGGTTACAGCCCCAGGAACGCTTCAGGACACCTCGCCGCTATCCAAGCGGGCGACAAGTGAAGCAAGAAGACGACGTTGACGATGACGAGTTTGTTTTTGTTTCCTATGCGCCTCGCACCAAGGCATTTTTTCACTTTGCTTGTCCCTTCTACGTCCATGACCCAGGAAAGCACCAGCAATGTCTCCTCACTGTCGGCTTGAAGTCAATTGAAGGTGTCATTGAGCACACCATGAAACACCATTCTCGGTCACCTTATTGTTCAAGATGTTATCGGAAGTTCAACTCACTGATTGATCGTGACGATCACGTTTTGAGCGGCAGATGCAAAAAGCGCTACCCAGACCCATCAGATGGGGTGAATGAAGACCAAAAGGCATTGATGATAAGAGCCAATGATCAGTACTTAAGTGAAGCGCGGCGCTGGAATCGAATGTGGTCAATCATCTTCCCGGCTACAGAGTGGCCTCGGTGTCCATATCTGGATCGAGGCTGTGGGCTGAAAACATCGATGGCCCGAGACTTTTGGGATCTATACGGCGTGCAACTTGTCTCGGAGACCCTTGAGCGCCAACGGCTACCCACGACTAACGAGACCAATGCTCATGGTGTACTCTATGAGCTAGGACTACGGGATCTCTTGAGCATGGTTATTCAAGAGTAAGACTATCAAGAGCATGTACAGATATCAGGTCATGGATTGAGAGTGTATCGAGGACGGAGTTTGTGTCTTGAAAAATTGTTAGATAGTACGGGGCATAGACAAAAGCTAGGGTTTCTCCAAGGGTATATTTCCTTGATGATGGGTACTTAGATCATAGGCTCTCACGACCAATGGCGGCTGAACAGACTCAATGAACAGCGGCAGACAATAAACACTTTCGTATCATACTGATCAACATTACGCTAACAAATCACCTTTATTACACCTTCTAGACATGAAAATACAGGAAACTAACCCCAGTACCCAAGAACAGAACTGATATTTTCCTCCGGGGCCTACAGACAGACAAATGGTTTTCCTCTAACAACAATTAAGAAAGACAATAATACAAAGGGGAAATAACAATGAAACTATCTTTTCCAGCTGCAGTCGGCCTCGCGGCTTACTTTGACTTGGTCTATAAGAATCTTCTGAAGTCATGATCCTCCCGAATTGGCAAAGGAAGATAGGCCACAATGGGCACTTCACAATCAGAAATGTGAGCTATCGTTCCCATATGCGTTCGAATAGTTGTGGTCTTCCGTTGCCGGCTCGAACGGAGCATTGGGATATCCATTATAAGAGGTAACAGAATATAAAGAGTCATGAACAGTAGAGTACTCAGTGGGAACAAAGGTGTTCCCGGAATTCGTATATGCTTCAGAACCTGGAACTGGACTTGGTGCACAGTATTCAGTAAACGTATTCGGCGTTACATAAACGCCCGCAGCGCTGGGCTGCCCAGCATTGTGATTAAAACCTTGCGTTTGTGATTGCAATGCCTGAGAAGTAAATGGCGGGTTGGAAGGCAGATAGCTTGGGGTATGGAAGCTTGGTATTGGTGCTGTGTGTACATTATTCGGCTGTGCTTGTGGGGGTACGGAAGAGCTGCTTCGGGGTTGCGGCGAAGTTTTGTAGATTCTATCCGTAGCTTGTCTAATAATCGACTGGGCTCGCTCTTGCCCAAGTCCTTGTTTAGATTGAAGCTCATCGCGAAGTATCGACTCCACCTGTAGACGAGGTACGCTGATTTCAACGTGGGGAGATCGTGGCCGGTCTTTTCCTGGAAATAACCTGTCCCAGATGATATACCACCTTTCCATTTCACTTTCTCGCTTGTGTAGCTCAAGTTCTGATTTCAGGGCTTTGAGCTCCTTGGGTATTGTAACACCAGATCGTTCGATATCGGTTTCGTGACATTGGGGTTCCGATGTCGAATGGATGCGGAGCCTATATGCAGCACCCATACCACGAAACAGATCGCGGCACCTCGCACAATAGAGTACGGCATCCTCTTCTCGTACTGTTGCATCATGTTTTATCTTGACCTCGCGTATATGGTGCTGGCGTTTGATGTGCTGCATGACATCCGATAGCCGGCTTAATCGGTAGCCCCTGCACTCTGGGTATTGGTGGGGGTTCAGCTTGGAGAATGGGCATTCAAAGGATAATGTTGACAGCCTTGCTAAAGGGTATTTCGGGCCGTCATCAACTCCGTCGTTCTGATCCTGGCGGCGGCGCTTGTTAGCACAGCGGCCGCCTTGGCCTGCGCCTTGGTGGGGCTCACAGTTCCCCAGGTTCATCTTGGGGACAATTTCTGGGGTAGCACATATGGACTCAAGGATGGTGCTTCAACTAAAATGATAAGGAAAACGAGTGATAAAGTCCAAGTCTTGACCGTTGAGAAACAGGTGGGATCGGCTCCTGGTGCACTTAAGACCGGTTTCAGTCAAGTGTAGGAGCCGCAAGTCCACAGCAAGGGGAAACATTACAAGGCAGAGCATGCTTGAGGCCCTGTTTTAACAGCTAGCTAAGTTGTCCATTCTTTGGGCAGTTATTGAGTCGGGTATCAAGGGTTTGGGTCACTTTGGGCCTTTTCCTCATGGCTGGATTCTAAATGCATTTAGCTGCATGTTCCAACACAGTTGCGAACGAGAAATTAAACGCTCTTCTGGTAGGAGATAATCAGATTGGATTTAAGGCCCCCCTTGAATATTGATTGGTGATAAAGCCTCTAAAAGTTAGCTTCCGCCTTGCTCTGTCAGGGCCAGCACAGACCCCACTCTAAGCAGCTGCAGTTGACAACGCAGCGCTGCTGGCCACGTCGATTCCAAAGCGAGGGCCTCTGGGCCTCCGTCAGGCCTCGTCCACAATTGTGTAGTCCTAGAAAAACACTCTCAATTACGGTTTGTTTATTTTCGATATGATGAATTTGTTTTAGCGAGGCTGCAGTACACTTCGTAAATGTCATTCGAGGTAACTTAGCATCAGCTGCGCCCCCGCATCTTGCCATTTGCTGTTCCAACTAAGGTGTCTTCTGAGTGAAGACTTAATGTTTGCAGCATTTAGCTAATTGATCAAACTTAATGTACACAATCGTGTATGGAGGGAGGAGGGACCAACAGTGAGAAAAACGACACAATTGCGGACAGTGTTGGGTTCATATATACTACATCATTTATGCCATTTCCAGATTTCAAAGAGCTGTATGTGACCTCAATGATAACCATGCCAACATAATGACTCTTCCCTCTCCGGCCAAAAGGTTTGACTCGATCGCCGATCGTCGATACGTACCGTATGCTAACAAAGCTGTTCCTGCAGCCCCTCGCCCCAATCATGTACCGTCAAGGAGTATAATGACCGCATCCAAGACTGGTTACTCGATCCAGGTCTAGATATTCAGGGTAGGCTGATAGGCCAACTCAGTGGGCAGCCCCAGCCTGCAAAAGAAGCGCCAGCGAACCCACAACCCAAGGCGCACCTTTAGGTGGCCGCCCTTTCCCAGTCTAATTTCAGCTACTGCACGCGCCTTGCAGTTGTTTTATTGTTCTCCGCCAGCGGACTGTGGCTGGGGATTCATGGTGCTAATAAAGGCGGAGAGATTTTTGTTGATGAAACAGTGAATGGGCTTTGTGCTTACTGACGAGTCGGTTTACCTGATCACCTCAACCCATGTATAGAGTACAAAAAAAATGGAAAAGCTGGCGCTCATGCATTTGGCTTGTTTGCTCTACCGTATTTCTCCCCGCACTCTTACCGACTGCCAGCACATCGTCCGCAATTGTGTGACATACCGCCCCGTGCTCTCACACTAGGGACCTAGATCACCCTGCCGCCTGCCAATGAAGCAAGGCGAGCTTGACCAATCATCCCGAGCAGAATGGTGAGATGATAGGACTCCAATTCAAACCAACATGTACCCAATTAGGAAGAGTGACATTCATTTTCTATTCTTACACCTCGCAAAAGCATGTAGCATTCGTATGACCTGGTCTTACAGCCCCCGGGGCGGACTGCCTTGCACAGTCTGCACTTATACTTCTTACTTCGCCTTGAGGCTCAAATAATTTCTCTGTCAATACTTCGAACTTCCATACGTTTCCAAAGGTTCACGTATTTCAGCTTATAGCGCAAGTAGCCTAACCCTTGTATTTGTAGCCTGGCTGACGATAAAGCGAATAGCATACAGCACAAATCCTTCTAAACGAATGGTTTTCAAACAATAATGCAGGTCACATCTTTGAATGGGAACGCAGAGAATTATGCGACACGTCCAAAGTCAAGGTCGCAATTCAATAGGAGCGCCTCACAATGCTCTTACGGAAGGCCTCTATCACCAGCGCCGCCAAGGCCAGGAAGCCCTGACATTTACTGCCAAACACCCAGTAGGTTTCTTTCGATGTACAAAAAATACAATGCTGATGCGATTCAAGCTGTATCACTAAATAGGATGGTCCTCCCGGGAGGCAAAGTCTTTCATCGGCCAGATACTCCAGCTCCGATTGCACGAAAGCCAACAGTTAGGAGTGGATTGTCCTTGGATGCTCTCCGACTTCCTTTAAACATATCTAGCAATCAATATCCGAAAGAAGAAGAGAGCCTGAGCCCGCAGTTCCCATCCCGAAGCTCAACCCCGAGTAAAAGGAGACGTACTGCTGGATTCGGCGATGAGCTTTGCGACCTGGATGAAGATGGGGACCAGACCCCCAACGACAACATCAAGAGATTCGCTTGCCCATACTTCCGAAAGGATCCAGAGCGCCATATCGAATGCATCAACCTCAAGATGGTCCGCATCTCCGACGTGAAGCAGCATCTAAAGAGACGACATACGGCACCCTATCCGTGCCCGAGATGTTCCGAGGGATTCATGTCTCTGGATATGCAACGGGAACACATCCTGCAACAGAATTGCTCGGAGGGATCTGGAACGAACTGGTATAATGTTTCGTTGACGTCGCAAAAAGAGCTGCAGGCTCGCTTTAGGAAGAGTCTTTCCGCGGAGGCACAGTGGTATGGGATATGGACTATTCTGTTCGGAAAGCGCCGACCTATGCCGAACCCACATCTTGATGGCGTTGTTAAAGAGGTTATTGGGATTCTTCGCGGTATCTGGCTGGATGAAGGTCGACAGTTGATTTCTGAGTTCGTGCAGGCGAGTGACCAGTCGCCCGACTACACTGACGAATTGTACAAACTCCTTACACGACTTCTTGACGAAGTTGAGGCTCGCTTCGAACAAAAGCCTTCCGAGAAGGTCTCCGGTATAACATCAGCTATTTCCGAACTGAGGCCCGAGGAGGCTGGTGGAGTGCAGTTGGATACCTTTTCCAATTACATTACGGAAGGACCCGACAGCCAACCCTTCGTTGCGCCCTACGACACCGCAATCTTGCCATTCGATTTCTCAGCCGCACAGTCAGAAGTCTCAGAACTGTCATACCAAACATCAGAGTTCGGCTTTCCTGGAGCGCAGCTTTTCCAAACTCAGTTTCCTTATACTGATAATCCAGTACCAGATTTCGACTTTGGGGATTACAATCAGTAGCAAGACGTTCCTACAGGTGGAGCTATGCTGTGATATCTAAACAGATTTTCACTTAGTTAAATGTATCACTATGTAGACTTCCGGAGCTGGTGCAACAGTCTCGTAGATTTATATTCTTGCTTGCGACACAAGATCTATACGCGGTGGTACGTTTTGCAGTAGATCGGAGCCAATCCAGTGAAGAGACCCACGCCCAAACTGAGGATATACTTCCCCATGGCCAAATTAAAAACAACTCTCTTTGAAGGTACATAAGGGCCATGTTCTCTGTAATGTCAATTGAAGTGTAATTAGAGATGGAATACTCGTAGTACGTGTTTACTGCTGCATGGACGAGTTGTATCCGGGTAAGATTTGCCTGCTAAGTTCATAGAGCTCTAAAATACCTTTGAGGCGTTGTCTGGTATGCGAAGCCACGGTAATGAAGGAATTAAGTTCAGAAATTAATGAGAATGTGGCTGGCTGACCGGTGTTGATTTGCCGTTCTTGTCTCTTGTGAAACATCAGAGCCGCCTGGCAACGGCTCAAATAAGCAAGGCTTTAAGCCTCAAAACTTCGTTCCAGCAACTTAAAACCAATCACCCCATTGCTTGTATGATATGGAAGCTGTATCACATAGCGTGGCGCAGACTCCAAGTTCAGGTTGGTCGAGGCCTGGAATCAATGGCCCTCAGCTGATGCGCCTCGAGTACGTGACAAGACCAAATCGGGGCAAGAATCCTTTGTAGGACTGAGACATAAGCAAAAAGAAACCAGATGCTATCAAACGAGCCTTCCTACGCAGACGGAAGCCGAAGAAGTTCAAAAAGCTATAAAGTCGCCTGAGTCACCTCATCGTCAGTCACCATCAGCAGCTTCTCTTTTCCCTATTCAGACCTCTTCCTTCAGCATACGATTATCCCACCATACCGCACTTAGTCTTACCCCTTGATACCTCACTCTCACAATCATGGGTTTCTTTGATAACATCTGGGACGGCGTCAAGTCGGCAGGTCAGTGGGCCATCGACCACGCGGCCGATATCACTCCTGTCATCGGGGCTGTTGGCGAAGCAGCAGCAAGCTTTAGCCTTCTGCAGGATAGCAACCCTAGCTTTGCGGCCAATGCTAGTCCTGGAAGCCAGCCCAATGACACGCGCTCACAACAGTTGGCCAAATATCATCAGAAATTTGCCTACGTCAGTAATCGACTAGCTGCCAACGCAAAAGCGGGAGTCAAGCCCCCCTCCAAGACGACTGGCAGGACCACCACCCTCGACGACGTGCTTGTAGGTCTCTGGACAGACCCTAAGGGCCTATCATCCGACGGGAACCCTTCTGTATCGATGTATAAAGACCTTTCGGCCTTTATGGGAACTATGAACATCCCGTTTTCCTGGCAGGACAACTCTGGACTTGTTCACGATACTGTCAACGAGATTGGTCAGGTGTTGTTTGCAAAGACTGGACCCCAGGACCTCGCAGAGCTTGCTAAGAGTGGCGATCCTTTTGGCAAAGTCAACACAGAAGTTTTAACTCAAGATGGTCTCGTTCAGGCCTGCCATGTCTACTACCCGATCCCAATGGGGAAAGATGGGAAGCATTATTCGCTGCATAGTGCTATCCATCTCAGCTACACCACGAATGCATGAGCTCCTCTTGGCTACCAAAGGGTTTCAAGTCTTAGTCCTCCCAATAGAGAAACAGTATAAGCCACGCAGCATGGGTGTGTAGAGGAGATACTCTGGGAAAGTGCTGTGACTTTCAGTTTTTGAATTCTGGTTGAGGTTTGGGTTGATACGATGGGCTTAACCATTGTTATACTTAGTACCCTGCACCTAAATCCATATTGATACATAGGGTTAAATAGAATTTATTTCGCTTGAGATTGTCCATTGAAGGCTTTGGACTGCGCATTGGAGGCCTTGCTCAACATCATCCAGTGACCCTTGGGAATGCTTTCCTGATTGGTGTCCCCTTCTGTCATCGAAATGTCCAGGTTCTGGGCAAAAGAAAGAGATTAGCGAGCGGTTACATCTGTTTTGGAGTAACTGCCCAGGAACACCGCCGGCAAGTAAAATTGCTAGACTAGGTAGGTCCACAGTCAGGTTAACGATACGAGCTGCACTCTTATAAGCGACTGAATGTAGTCAACGGCTAAACCGGCAGATAAAATCACTACCGCCTATACCGTAGACTAATGTTATCCACTTCGGTAATGCCGAGAGCCAAAGCTGACTAGCTAATATGATTGAGGCATATAAACCCATGTCAGTGAACAAACTAGCCGCCGTGATGGGCCTTAACTATTGACGATCAAATCCTACTGGCTCATTGTTACATGGTTCTATGCAAGACCAACACAAAGTATGCAGATAATTCGCATCTGAAACTTTCTCGTTCCTAACTGCTTGAGTCACCCTCTACTCAAGTTCCTATCCTTTTAGTCCTGGGTTTGAGCAAACTTACGCCATTTAAATAGCTGATTTCTGCCCTGGTTAGCTGTCTTAGGGTACTGACGTCCGTCTCCCTCTCTGTTCTCGAAATGGATGATCTACTTCTCCGAGGCCATAGCTGCCTGCACTGCCAGAAGCTCAAGCTCTGCGAAGCACCAGAAGAAATCTTCATAGATACAAACTTGGACTTGATTAAGTACTCCAGGTCCTCCCCTTCTCAAATAAGATTCACTGGTGTACATCTCGACGATCTACAAGAAGGTACGCGCAATGGCTGCAGCCTGGGGAAGTATCTCTCTTTACAGCTTCAAAAGGGATACCCAGAAAAGTTAAGCCCGCATGATTTGAAACTATACACTGACGGTTGGCGTTTCCATGGTCTGATACCACTGGAGAAGACCCTCCCAAGTGACCGAAAGGTTGAATTCCCAATGGAAGACCAATATGTTCATGCTCCAGCACATAAGGGAAAGTATGGAGAGTTCCTGTCTTACAAAATCACGACGGATGAAGGTGAGTTAGTCTGTCAAGTTATAAATTATTTCACTGACTAATCTAGATGTTGAATGGACTGGAAAACAAAATCTTTTGACTCGAAAGCCGATAATTCACGATCCCCTATCAGATACGACGGCGGCCGCTATTCGCGAGTGGAAGGATAGATGCGACTTCAGACAATCCGAGACCCATACAATCTGCTCCCGTCCAAGCCCAAAATTCCTCCCAACTCGACTCCTCGAGATTATCAGAGCGGATGAGGACCAGAAGCCTGTTGTGAGGCTTGTTGATGGAAAGCCGCTAAGCGAAGACATCGAATACACAGCTCTGAGTTATTGCTGGGGAGGGGAGTTGAAGAACTCTCTGAAAGAAAGCAATAAAGCCTCATACCGGACCGAAATACCTTGGGATGACATTTCCAAAACGATTCAAGATGCTATTGTGACATCACACAAGCTTAAGATCGGTTTCATCTGGGTAGATTCACTCTGCATCATTCAAGACAGCAAACGAGCCGATAAAGAAATTGAGATTGGCCAAATGACAGAGGTCTATACCCATGCTGCGTTAACTATTGCTGCCAGAAGATCTTCGGATGCTCATACCGGCTTCCTTCACCCAAGATCAGTTCCCTCTGGAACGACCATCGTGGATTTCCGTGGCGACGATGGTAAAACAAGGCATTGCACATTGACGTTTGAGGAAGCAGCCAAAGCTGAAGACGAAACTTTCTTGGACACGCGAGGCTGGACACTGCAGGAATACCTACTGTCTCGCCGACTGTTAATCATCGGATCATGGACAACTACGTGGTCTTGTCGCAAAGAGCGCAAGGGCAACAGTGATGGATGGAGGTTGGATAGACAACAAGGTGACCCGTTCCAATATGATTCAACCTGGAGTTCGAATCGCAACACAGTACTTGAAGGAACGCAGCGTCTCGATGCTATTGCTTTTTTTGGTACTCATCCCAACTGCGACTATCCAAGGCCTGCAGACCATCTCATTAAGTGGGAGTGGGATGGGCTGGTTCAGCTATACACCGGACGAAACCTCACAAACAAGACTGACAGGATCCTCGCCATATCAGGCCTGGCCCAGATTTTCAGCCCCATGCGTGGAGGAGAATATGCCGCTGGGTTATGGGTGAAAGACATGCCTGAGACGCTTCTTTGGGAAAACCGTTCTAAAGCTTTACATCCAAGACCAAACTACCAAGGACCATCCTGGTCTTGGACAGCTATTAACGGCAGTATTACATGGGGAGCTGGCCTTGGAAAAGATGTTTTATCAGTGGACTCTATTGAATGTGAGCTCGATCAGCCAGGAGCTCCCTTTGGGTCTGTCAAACGCGGTGTTCTTCGTGCCACGGGGCCTGCCTTGGACCTCGAGTGGAAATGTAGCAGGAGTACATCCGATTGGAAGAATCCCGGAAGACACCATCTGAGGTACTTGACGGCCGATAGGGGGTATATCAACGCTCATATCGAGTTTCGACCCGATGCAGAAGAGCCTGATTCGGACTGGGCTCCTGTAACATTACTTGCTGTCAAGGTTCACGACTGCACTACGGGGATAGTCTTGAGAAAGCAGAACGGCAATGAATTCTCAAGATTGGGTTTCTTCGATGCACGGCTTCCGGGGGATCAATGTCACATATACTGCCAATTGCCTCTGGTCAGAGACTGGAGTAGCAGAACTTTTACTATTGTATAGTTGAGGGCTTTCTTCGTGTAACGAGCATACGTACAGTCTGGCTTCGGTATCAGAGCTGTAGTGGAGTAGTGAGGGGTTAGTCGGGCGGAGACGTTGCTCTCCAAAGCGGCAGAAGAATACTCCGCGCCTAAAATCTGGGGAACACCGTGACATAGATAAACTACAATGAAGATCAGTATAACGAAAGAAACAATCAGATTCAATCTTACAAGAGAAATATGAACAAAATGTCTTCAGAAGATCAAGAGCAACGTACCTTACATCTGGTTGGCATTGGAGTTGGCCACTCGATCGCTCCGCCAATGCACAACCATATTGCTCAATCCCTCGGTCTCCCATGGACATTCTACGCTACAGAATGCGTCACCCTTGACGACTTGATGGACCTTGCGCGAAAAGACACCACAGCCGGTCTAGTCGTGACAATGCCCTACAAGAACGCCATCATCCCCCGTCTCGATGCACTAGACGACCTTGCTGCCACCATCGGTGCTTGCAACAACGTCTACCGAGACTGGGAAAATCCCAAGAAGTTGCGTGGAACGAACACTGATTGGCGCGGTATCAAGGGTTGCCTTCTTGAGAAGGGTGATCAAGCGGGTGTACCTGTTCTCAACAAACCAGCTTTGATCGTTGGTGCTGGCGGAGCCAGTCGGGCAGCTGTTTATGCGCTCAGCACATACTTCCAATCTTCAATCATCTACGTGTTGAACCGCGATGAGCAAGAAGTCATAGATCTCATGCGAGACTCTCAAAAACTTTCCCCTGTACCGACCATCATTCATGTCAAAGAGGGACAATCCCAGCAACTCGAGACACCATACTACGTTGTCGGCACTGTGCCTGACTTTGAACCCCAAACACCAGATGAGCTTGCCGTCAGAGCCAACTTGGAGGAGTTTCTGTCTCGTCCTGAGAAGGGAGTTTTGCTTGATATGTGCTTCAAGCCAAGACGGACGAGAATGATCAAATTGGCGGAGCAGAAGGGTTGGCCTACGGTGGAGGGAACGCATATTATTGGGTATCAGATTGAAGAGCAGTGGAGGCTTTGGGCTGGTGAGGAGAGGGTTAAGAAACTTGATAGGGAGGGAGCGTGGAAGGTTCTTATTGACTCGGCTGAGAAGAGTCCTGGCATTAACTTTTAGATGTTGTATAGAAATTGATGGAAACTATTCTCAGTAATGGCGAGCATTGATGACGCAGTGCGCTAAGATGCCACGAAACAGACTCGTTTTGATCAGGCCTGAGAATCATCAGTCAAGTCTAATAGCCCAAAGGAACACGCTCATGAACGAAGTTTTCGTCACGGCTTCACAGATTACCAAGTAGTTTTCTTTTAACAAATACATAGATGTTATATTATTGCATCTTGTTAATCTACCTACATCTTGTTCAACTCCAACCTGTCAACAAAGGTCTTCCAAGCTGCGATACCCCTCTGAGCATGTTGCTTCGGTACATCCTCCCCCTCCTCAGACATAGTTCGTGAAAACAATTCCATCGAGACATATCCCTTGTACCCCATATCATGAATCAACACCTTTGCAATGTCCTCAACGGGAAGATAAGCGCCTCGATCCGTCTCATACATATAGGCTCTAGCATTCCGCGACCAGTTCATCCTAGCCGGATTTCCATCAACATGGAAGGGATGTCCTTTGACAAGTGGAGTTTCCATCCTCTCAGCATCGACGACTTGGATGTAGAACACCTTGTCTAGCGTGACCTCCTTGACAAGTCTGTCCAAGGAATCTTTGAGATCTTGGTCGGCATTGGGTGTTTTGCCAGTTGGGGAGGCTGGGTCTCCCCAGACTCTTCCTGCGATGTTGAATGTGTCGAGGCAAAGACCAAAGTTGGGTCTGTTGACCTTCTGGGCCACTTCCCACGACTTCTCCCAGGTGTCAACATGCGTACTCCAGCACAACGCTTCGTAGGCAAAGCGAATTGGGGGATCTTGTTTGATGCCGAGATCAGCTAGTTCAACCAGGTCTCCTACTATAACATCCATGTCGCCGGTCAACTGATCAGCCGGAAGGAAGTTGGCAGGAATCTGAATCGTGTTGGTACCCAAGATCCTTGCGATCTTGAACCACAGCTTGATCTTTTCGATAAGACGAGTATGTTGCTCACGATCTTTGAGACCCTCATAGAATAAGAACGGCTGAAGGCCAATGACTGTAAGCTTCAAGCCATCCAGCAACTCTCGGATATGCGATGCTGCAGCGAGAATCTGATCATTGCTGGGAGTTTCGACACTATGTAGTCTTTTTGCTTCATATTCAAGATCTTCGTAGAAGACTTCAATGCCTTGGAAGCCATGTTCTGAGGCTTGCTTGGCCTTGTTGGCAAAGTCGTGGAGCCATGCTCGGCCGAGCGAGGCGGATAGGATAGCGGGCTTAAAAGAAGTCATATTGTGTGATTTGACGGCTCGGTTGACTCAGGGTAACAATGATGGCGGTGATTTCAGATTGTGCTTTATCTCATGTATCACTTGGTCGCGTCTTTGTTACTCATGCTCAGAATGACGACGGTGAACCGGCAAAATACTGTTCCGATGGTGCCGGGCCGGGGATGCGACTCCCGAGGTTCAATGGGTAAGTCATTATCCAACATTCTACGTCCGGTGCCTCATTGCGTACAGTGACGGGATATTGACGTTTTGGTCGAAAGCAGAGCCATTGAAAACATCCATGGGCACTTTGAGTATTGTGGTCTTGATAAATATCGTGTTGTCATTCATTATCTGTGTTCGCAGCCTAAAGCTTAACCTTATAGGCCGCCGTCAGCCACAGGTGATTGCCTTGTCTCAGTGCCTATGTATCTGCTTCCCTTGCCAAACGCTCTTTGTATGCTCTAAACACCTCTTCTCTCATCAGATTAGCTGGTGCTCGCCTCGTAGTAAATAACTCAAACTGCATCATTCCCTGTTCTGGTAGTACTTGCAGACCATCAACAGGTATCCATCCCTTCTCTGATAATGACTTTATCTGCTTGAGCAGCGGAGTCTCCAGCGGTGTATATGAAAGCTGTGAACGCACGTTAGCTTAATCTCACGCTACAGTCTCTTCTAGTAGCTGTCAATGCTTACCTCAATTGCAACGCCGCCAGTCGGGCTTGACAGCCAATGTTCTGGTAGGCTCGTGTCCGCCGAGCACTGTCCATCGATTTCTCGCGTTGCCACGCAAGAGACGACAATTGTTGGTAGACTTAGGTCTTCAGGCCATGCGTCGTCTTTCGAAGCGATGACTCTAAACGAGGGATGATCAAGGCTTCCGATCTCTGTGTCGCTTCCATCCGTAGAAGGGTTACTAGTTTCGTTCTTATACTGGCTACCAAATTGCTTGATGAGTTCTTCTGCCCTCGACCGAGTCCGGTTATGAATCAGAATAGTCTTCACACCGAGTCGAATAAGGGCATACGCAGCAGCACGAGCCATACCTCCAGCACCAATGATGAGACCGGTCGTTCGTCTCCTCACAGCATTGATTGGAGATAGATTCCTCTGCACGCAGGTATGGATGCCAATCCAATCCGTGTTCTCACCAAAAAGAGCTACTGTTGGCCCAGCGGTATTCCTGTCTAGTAAGGACTCCATCGTAGGCTGCCTCAGACATAGCAACGTGTTGACGGCTCCGATAGCCCTAGCTTCTTCACTCAAGAAGTCCAGTTTGGGTATTATAGCAGTCTTAAATGGTGCAGTGATACTAGCACCGCCAAAGGTGTTGTCCTTGACAAGTTCAAAGAGCTGGTCCATTGACTCGTGGAGGAAGATGTTGTATCGATGGGGCATGCCAAGTAGCTTAAACGCCGCATTGTGCATGGCTGGGGACAAACTCTTCGATGTGCAATTACCGTAGATACCGAAATACTGGCCATCTAGTAAAAAGGATGAAAAGACTGCTTTTTGCGCTTCTTGCACTGTGAGCAGAGCATTTGATGGACAGTTTGGGGCCAGCTTCCGGACTAGCGGATGTGTAACTGGGCTCAGAATGGGGTTGAGATAGCATGACATTCGTCCAAGACGGCCAGTGTTGTATGCTATTAATGGGATAGTATGATCTGGAGACGATTTGACTCGATGGATAAAGTGTTGTGCGGCGAAGTTGTCTTCCACGGACCTTGCCTCTTGACAGATCCGGATGATATCACAACCGAGGCTTTGAGCCCTTTCGATCGTGGCCCATTGTTTTGGTAAGTTCCAACCATCTTCTGCTGGATCGGAAACGACATGATGGCCGATGACCTTTGTGTGCCCTTTGGATGCAATGAGATTCTTGATCTTGGGTGTGTCGCATTTAAGATCGACACAGAGGTACTCCGGTGCGAGGCGCAGTCCATGATGCAGGAGCTCAAAATACTCATCCTCTGAGATTTTGTTTTCACTTCCGTATATGTCGATATGGTAGAGAATTGGAAGTCTGATGTTCCTCCTGACAACGGAGAACTGTCTGCTGATTCGATCTACCGCAGTTTCCTCGACGCCAACCTCATTGAAGAGACTTGAAGCAGGTATTGTAAGTTCAAGCGCGTCTGCTTCAGTGTCCAGTCCACGAAATTCCGTGATAAGCGTGCTGAGTGTCGATAGTGGTAGGGTTAAAGAATAGGTAAACTTTCTCGTCTCGAGCGGTATGGACGAGAGACTGTTCTTTGCTTTGTACTTGCTATAGCAGTCGTCTCGCCTTGTGATGCTGTATATCAACTGCAGAAAGTCTTCTTCAACCTTCTTCAGTGCAAGAGCCCTAGGCGATATATCCCCCCGCGATGATGCCACATCCAGCTTGGACAGTGACATATCCGAAATGTTATAGAACTCAAAACTGGAGAGCTTTCTGTAGGCCGGTGCTGCACGCCGCGTGAGATCCCGAATGGTTTCCACGTCGAATACTCTCAGATGGCGTTGGATCTCTTCAGCATCTCGCAAGATGTAGATGACCAAGTGGTCCTTGGCATACGCTGAAAGCCATTCTTTGCCAGTGCCTTCAACAACTCCAGGGCCGCAAACAATAACCGCGCCAGTTGGATTGTCAAAGAGCATGGATTTCATCAATCTCAGCTCCTCCTGTCGATATTGAGCGATACCGTTGGAAGACTTGTAAACTGCTCGAGAAAGACCAGTGGCGCGGTAAAAATATTGATCCGCATCAAGAATGCGAAATCCGAGGGCACTTGAGGCCATGACTGCTAGGGTTGACATGCCACTGCCTCGCATGCCGATGAGCGCGATAGAGGCGTCTGGTGCATAGCTGTTTCTAGCTTGAGAATACTCGGGTGTACAAGTCCTTGTCAATGGTGTATTTGGAGTCGGTAGCCTTGAAGGCCCCAAAGGCGTCACCACAGTCGGGGCCGCCATGGTTTCCCTTGATGTTTCGTTGGTGATTCAGTGGTGAGTATGTGGTGGACAAGACTGATCAGACCCGTCGAATCATCAAGCCAAAGTCCAAGGAGTATGTTTTCGAGTCACCAGAGTCCTGGGTAGGTAAGAGGCCATGGTACTGTTCCCAGAGCGGCCAACGATGCCTTTGCCTTCAGCGTGTTTAATCATATTCCCGGCCCTTGATACTCGCCCAGGGTAGGTAAGTGGCCGCGGCATATTCCAAACCAATCAAATGTCAGCGGTAGAAATTTCTGCCGCTCCAGTCCGACCCCAGTCACCCCGCACAACACTTACTGAATCAGGAAAGGATGGAGAAGGATGATTGTGATGAGTGAGTCTGATGAATTCGAGAATTCATGAAATCTGGCCGGCGTCAACAACCTGCAATTAAGATGCACAGAAGAATGTGACGGTATCATAATAACACAGTACTAAAGCCCCACAATGTCGACCACATCCCAGGACACGAAAGGCAGAGGTCAGTCAGAACCCAGTCCACGAGCTCCAAAACGAGCAAGGACCGACACGGAGACTTCAGCCAAGGGGCCCAATGGACGTAGGCGGCATCGAATAACACGAGCATGCAACGAGTGTAGGAGACGAAAAGACCGATGCGGTGGCCAACGCCCGTCATGCAAGTCATGCATCGACAATAATCGGACATGCAGCTATGGACCATCAAAGAAACGGGGACTACGACCTGGCTACGTAAGAGGCATAGAAACACTGCTGGGACTCATTTTCAAGTCTATCAATGGCAGTGAAGAGTGGATATGTGGAATTCTCGAGGGTGTTATTCAACAAGCTTCCTTCTATCCTGCATCCGGTTTACATGACACCAATATCTCTGTCGATCTTCTACTCGAAGCATGGCATAAGTCCTCCGTTGCTAAGAAAATGGGAAATCTCCTCTCTACAGAGAGTGAATTTGAAGAAGAAGGTGCCGACTCGAGTCAGATTTTCGATACAAAAGTGGTTGAGGGGCTTACGCTTTTGGTATCAACAAAGGATTCGTCAGGGGCTCCCATGACGCCAATGGACACGATTACAACACAAACTGACCTACCAACCTTTGATTATTCTCCTTTACCTGTTACCAATGATTCACCTTTACGACCACGTGGGGGAGAACTATTTGACACCACTGTCAGCCGCAAACAAGAACCCGCATCACGGGCCCCAGATTCCTTGCCATCCGCTATCCCTGACCTTCCGAAGGACTGGTCATATCTTCTAGATCTCTATTTCGAGACGACACACTGCTGGTTTCCTATATCTCAAAAACACGAGCTGCTACGAGCTGCGTACACATTATCCAACGAGCCAACGACGACGTCTTCTAGTTCACTGTCTACAGGAGAAATGGCGTTTCTTCAAGCCGTCCTAGCATATGCCTCACATCAGTCAACAACTCTATCGAATACCCCCAACGGCAAATCTGATGTTATGAGTAGTCTCAGATCGCCACAGAATCTACTCGAGACAAGTTTATTCGCCAACCCAACTACCTTTGATCTCGGACACGTTCGAGCTCTGCTTGTCATATGCCTCTTTGAAATGGATCAAAAACACTGGTCTTTAGCATGGACTACCATCGGCCGGGCCATATACACAGCGATATCCCTTGGGCTATTCGCACAAGGCACCACAATCGATCCGTCAAGCCGAGATGGTCTAAAACGGACAATGATGGGTTGCACGATACTAGAGACAATTGTTGCAGCACGTCTCGATACTCTTCCTTACCTCACCTCCTCCAATTTCTTACTTCAGAACGGCTTGTTGGCTGATGGAAACGAGGAATGGGAGCCATGCAACCTCAAGATCCTCGTTGAACCAGAATCTCAGCAAGACCAACAGAACCCGAACTCACATGTTCCGGGGCATGTGATAAGCACCTTCAACAGATACCTCCAACTCGTTCTATCATTGAATGATCTGATACACCACAAAAAGAACCTTGATCCGGCTGGGAGCTTCGGCAAGCTCATAGGCTTGTGTAGAGAGAACTTCAGCACTATGGGTAGCTTAAAAGCTACCAGCCTGTCACCTCAGGCTCTTGGTCTTTGGGTAGCTTCAGTCGCCATATTTGAGATGGCAGCAACTGTTGCAAACCGTCCTATTGTCGACCGCCCCAGCGGCTATTGGGAGAATGTCGCATGGTTGGCTGGCATCACAGAGAAACGCGTCCTGAGCATAGGTCGCTGTGCTATCCCACCTGTCATCAATACTTGCATGGAATTATTAGCGAGCTCCTTGCATGACCAGGAAGCGTACTATGCAGGTACTAATTTTGGCGATGACTTCCATTGCGCTAAAGAATCGATTGCGAAATGCCTAGATACCCTACAAGAATCGTTAGGAAGAACGTCTCAAGCCGATGCCTATAACGATTTAGAGGCTATACCGGCCGGAAGCAGCAGCCATTCTCTCCTCCCAATGCATATTGCAGTTGGCAAGGAACCAGTACCATCCCGTTTCGAACTACCACCAACTCCATCAACACTATTTTCGAGCAAGGTGGACACGTCAGTGCCGGGCAATGCAATGCATTCACAACCACCAGGCGGAATGTCATTCCCAATAGACCCAGCCTTGGGGGCAAACATTGATGACGACGGCCTCTTTGACAGCCTCGCTACGTTGGATTCAACGGATTGGTAGGTCCACGAAGAATGAGTACCGTTTTCGCGACTAACGAGCAGATAGGCTGGCAAACCCACCAGAGTTCATGCAGCATCTTGGAATGCTTGATGATGCCCCTAGTAATCTTGAACATCTTTTTGATATGGGATTCTAATTGAGAGGGGCACACATATGTGCTTGTGCAACGCCAGATCTTAGACTCCAATGCGAGCCATGTCCACATGACTTTGACGCCTTGCACGGATCATCTGCTATTACTACATACTAGACATATTGTAATTCTTGAGGATGGCTATAAATTGGTAACTTTGGATCACTGTGCCTCTGAATGACCTCCTAAACAATTTGTGGCAGGAGAATGCACTAAAGACGCCCAGTTTTGGAGGTTGCCCCAGCCGGCAAAGTTCTTTCCCACTCCCTTGGTGACCGGTCTATCACAACAATGCGTGCTCCACTTCTTATCAGTCGAGGGAAACAGGTGATTTAATATTCTGTTCTGTTATCGAAGGATCAGTGCTCTCAACATCATCAGTCATTCCTTGACCTCTCATTCACCCATTCATCATGGTTGCAGATGACAATACTCCATCTCATCAACGCCTAAATAACCACCACGGCTCTACAACAAACGCAATGACTCATTCCTCTGATGTCCAGGGAGATGTTAAGAAGCAATTCTACATCTTCGGCCACAACATATCGCACTCTCTATCACCAGCACTGCACAACGCCGGGTTCAAAACTCTTGACCTACCGCATCACTACCAGATTCACGAAAGCGAGAATGTTGATGGGTCAGTCGAGAGCATAATTCAACGGCCTGACTTTGGCGGTGCATCCGTCACCTTTCCACACAAGCTACAGATCGGGAAGTTGCTGGGATCACTCTCTCCAAGAGGAGAAAGCATTGAAGCTATCAATACCGTTGTTGTAACAGAAGTCGACGGGAAAAGAGTGCTTCATGGCGACAACACAGACTGGATTGGCATCAAGAGATGTGTTGAGAAATCTGGAGCTCGAGACTTTGCTTCATCATCAGCTTTGGTGCTCGGTGCTGGAGGCGCTGCTAGAGCGGCATGCTACGCCGTACAGACTCTAGGCTTTGGGGAGCTCATTGTCGTCAACCGGACCTTGAGCAAGGCTGAGGAGCTAGCTTCGAGGTTCCCTGACCTCAAGACCCGGTCATTTGCAACATTGGAGGAGGCTGCCGCTGCAAAGGATGCTCAGATCAGGCTGATTGTGGCATGCGTGCCGGCTGACGATCTTGGAGCGGACAAGATCCCGACTGGCTTGTTCTCAGGGACTGAAGATGGAGTGTTGGTAGAGATGGCGTATAGGCCGCAAGTCACTGGGATGATGACAGTCGCCGAGGGATATCCTGGTTGGACGGTTTATAGGGGAGTCGATGTGCTGGAGGAGCAGGCATACGCCCAGTTTGAGTTGTGGACTGGAAGGCAGGCCCCGGTTGAGGCTATGAGAGGTGCTATGCAGGCGAAGTTGAAGGAGAAGATATGAGAGTGTTGCTCAGACCAATAGAGGTCAAAGAGCAGGATGGATAGCAGCATCTATATTCATAGGAGAGAAGGGTTGATGAAATAGACAGCAAGGACGATAAAGTAAACAACTTCTCATGCAACCACGTATTTAATACTAACCTGTCACTGCCTTGAATATCATAGCCTCAGAATGATACGTCGAGGTTTCATTGTGTAGAAAGTAACGTTACAGCATCATTCGACATTCTTCTCTTTGCTTGATTGCATCAACATGAACTTTTGGACGAGGCTGAATCCATGTCCAATACGCTTATCGCCGAGTATAATAGCACTCAAGAGGTTTATGTCAGTATCCTCTCCATGATCCTGGATCTCGCCGGCATGGAAAATAAAGCGAAGGTCGTGTCCCAGCCAAACGATCTTAATTCCCACCTTGAGGAGTTCGGGATCCAATAAGAAAAAGGCTGGCCGACATACCTTTAGCCCTGCAAGTCGAAGCCTATAACGAAAATGAGTTAGCGATTCATGAGTACGATAACGGATTGCTAGATACCACAGCTTACATGTGGAAATTACTGCTCACGCTCTATGCAGGTATTCTACACAATTTGATGGGTTCTTTAGAAATAGGGTGTAAGCGGGCTCGTGTGTGAGACGCGTGATGTAAACCATCAGCTGCGTAAGCGGGCTCAATTGAACCCTGTGCCATAAGACGTCAACCCCGATACTTTGATCTTGGGGAGCTCAATGCGGAAAACATCAGCGAGCAGCTGTGCCGTGTCAACGCCACATGCCTCTTGTCGAGAAAGATCCAAAACTCAGGTAGCCACAGGGAATACATACTTTGAACGGCAAAGGGCGGTCGCATCTGATGTATTAACTATTCTGCTCCTGTATCTTTCAACTTTCCTTGCGGCAGAAGAATTCAGTCGAAATGGCGAGGGAGAAGGCTCCCTTTCGCGCAATCTGGAACAAATTGTTCGTCTTGATGGCAGTTTGCCCACGAAGGAAGCGATGGTCAACTTCGAATCTGGAACCAGAAGGTAGTAGCTCTATTATAGACTTGTTCCAATTCCTTCAATCTTTCTACCGTCTCGTGGGCTTTAGCTTCGAGGTCTGGACTTTTGACTCTCCGCTCATCCTAGGGATCGATCAGCGCTGAACACTGACTCCCGCTATTCATAGTAATCGTCAACGGCGGGTAAGACATCGAATAGCGGAAATGACGCCATTGCCATAGTGAAACTGTAAAATTACGAGAGTTTCTCAGTCTTAGGTTAATAGAAGAAAGTACCACCTAATAATATGCCGAAAGAAGTGAAATGGTACATTGCAAAGAGGGGGGAAAGATAAGCGCAGGGATCCCCTTGTCAATTATGCGAGCTACAGGTGTGACCCAAGCGTCCATTCTCGGCAGATGCCTTATTTGCTGTTGATTTGTGGCTGATAACTTAAATCAGCACAGAGAACGTGTTATAACCACTAGTCTGTGGTTCGGATTCCGAAGATGCCGGTAGTGCTACAGACAATCTTTAACAGCTATTATGACCACTCATATAAATATATAACGATAAGCATCTTAAACTCTGCTATGAATCCTTACCTTGTCTATCATCCCCACTCTAGACATAAGCTTTAACTATCAACCAACCTCACTCCGGTGATACAAAATGTCTTCGATCTACACCCTTAACCATGGCGAGGCCGATAAAGAAAGACAGCGTCTTGACTTTCAGCATGGCTTCTTCAAAGCCGTCACGCGCGATGACCTCCCTCCCGTCATCTGGCAGCACCTCAAGTCACTTCCAGCGCCCAAGGTCGCAGACGCAGATACCGGCACCGGGATCTTTCTAAAGGAGCTCGCGCCTAAACTCCCGACAGAAGCACAACTTTATGGCTTCGACATTGATACAAGGAAGTTCCACGACCCTGCTTCGTTCCCGGCAAATGTCAAGTTACAGTATGGCAACGTGCTGGTGCCCTTTCCAAAAGAATATCTCGGCATGTATGATTTGGTACATGTGAAGTTGCTCTATGCGGCGTTGAAGAAGGACGAATGGCTGCAGGCTGTGAAGAATCTCAAGACACTGCTTAAGCCGGATGGGTACTTGTTCTGGTGCGACGTAGGAGGCTATGGATATGCCAGTAACCCATACTCGGCCTCGGTCAATGAGTGGAAGAGGATCGAGTCGGCAGCGGCCGTCAAATTCGGACGTGACCCAAAGTAAGTGCCCAAACGCTGATTTCCCAGCGCGTGTACGCGAAATATCAGCTGACAGGCGCAAGGTGCCCTGTCCTCTTGCCAATTCAATTCCAGCAGGCTGGTTTGAAGCACGTAGACGAAAAGATCTTCATCACGTTGGGAAGACCTGATTTGACCTCAGCCGTGAACAGAGTGGCTTTGGAGTACATGGAACAAAGCCTCAAAGGTATCATGCTACTAGATCGGGACGGGAGTCTGGGGCTGAATGAGAGCGGGATAAAGTCACTGGTTGACACGCTCACCAAGGAGACTGAGGAAGGACTTGAGATAGGAAACAACATACATTGGGTTTGGGGTCAGAACGATGGCATTCGGGACTAATTACGACTGGATTCAGATGGTTACAAACACTTTTTCCTCCTTAAGTAGTGTGTTTCTGATATTGATAGTAAAACCATGTTGAGTTTGAGCTAAAGGCTTCTGATCGCGCGACGGTTTTAAAAGCTGTTCACCTTTGTTACAGCATCACATCACTTTCTCTTCACAGCACTGATCTCGGAGAAAGGAACATGTTAACAGAACATTTGAACTAGACACAAGTTGCTATTGTGACGAATTTTGCTAGTCTGTGTCAGGAAGAGAAGCAAGGAGAAGCCAGGTACCCCAAGCCCACAACTACCAAGCAGACCAAACTACCCTGATTCATATGTCCTTGAGCATCTCTTTCAGAATGGCGTTCGTAGTATTCCACAACATGACACAATCGTTGTTCATCCAGAAAGCCCCAGTATACCAAGTCGATCGCTGACTCTAAAGAGCATTCGCCATCGCAAAGATACTACCACGCAGCTGCTCGGCAGACCAGCGCCTATACAAAATTCCATGGTCCGAGAATGTTCTGAAATCGAGATCGCTAGACTTCCCAGTTGGGATTGTTCCCTCATCAATGAGATTCTGAACAGATTTGCGAACGAGATTCTTAGCGTCCTCGATCGAAGTCTCTCTCGGGACAACAGTTAGAGCACGGTGGATAGGTCCGGTCGAAGAGTTTCCTTTATACTGGAAGTAGGCTTGGAAGGGGGCGGTTGGATACGCGACATAGTTTCCGTTCACAGCTGCTGGTACAACGTTGGTGATTCCAGCTGCCGGCAAGGAAGGGTGAGATACGATGCCAGTGAGGTAGCGGTTGCCAGCAGCGGAATGGAAGATCTCCACTTCTTCACTGCTCAGGTCAAAGTACTTTGGGTTGATAGTCTCTGGCCCAATAGTGATCAGCAGTCTCTTGGCGCTGATCTTGGTGATATGTCCATCTTTATCTCTGACCTCAATCTTCACTCCGCTCTTGGTTCGTTTTGCAGACACCACCTCACTCTCATATAGAACATCCTTGCCCAGAAGTTTAGCAGCCTTCTGCCAGATTTCCGTATTGTCACCCGACGCAGGTTGGAATGAGTTCACGCTAGGATTCCACGCCTTCCACACGTCAATCATCAGTGCCGTGTTGAGATCGACGACGACAGTCTCCCAGATACTCGGGCTAGCAATGGTACCATGCACTACGTCTTACAGCTTGATAAGAGCAACTTCTGGTGGCGGAGCAGTTACTCGTGAAGTATATCAGGAAAGTGTAACATATTGCGGGTCTAGTGGTGTAAAAGCAGTGATGTTCGCAACTTGAGGTCATGCTTTTACGGCGATGAATATTATGGTGAGGCAAGAAATAAATCTCGTTTGTTTCAGTGTTTTTCCTGTGACCATACCAACAAGCCCAGAACCCCAGAAACGGAACCAAGGCACATCCAAAACCCAACAAGTCTAGACAAAGTCGACTCATGGTGTCTCCCTGTCAAGACTCCAGCCTGCGTGTGGTCTCATGAGCAAGCTTTCCGCCTAAGCATCCAGTGAGGCTCGCATCTCGATCGACTCCGCCCCAATCATGCTACCCGGAACGGCAGACCCGATCAAGGAAACTTTATCTGACCCAGGTTCTTTGGAGCTCTTTGATTCTGGAATGGCTGTTTCGCGACGTGATACGACATATTCGTCCTTGTCGATACGCGCCTGGACACCATCTTCCACTACACCTACAAGATAAGTCAACGGCCGCATACACGTCGGAAGGAATTAATGAAAGGGCTCACAATAATGTACGAACTTGCAGACTACCGGGAACCAGACTGCCACTGCCGTGACTTGCCCAAATGACCAAGGTAGTCCGCCCTCAGGGGTATACCGATCGTGCAATCCCTTGTGAAATCGGAGTAGGTCCGCGCGCCCGAATGCCATTGGCACGATTGCCAGATATGCCGTCACAACGGCCAAGATCTTCTTCTTAATTAAGCTCTGCACACATAAACCCTTGTTTGAGCGGCTGTTCTTCTCAAAGAAGCCATGCAGCTTGGTTATCGCCCGGTCCATGAGAACCAATAAAGTCTGTACATGCACGACAGTCTGACTCAACATCATGTGCGTGAAACCCGTCGCTATGTTTTAGTTCACACAATACGACATGGCCCCGGGATTGTTACCGCATACCGGCAATGATGACTGCCTTTGAAGGGTTTTCTCGAAACCAGCAGCACCCACCTTCTGAAGTGCAGACTTTATGACGATGAAGGTCCAGTTAAGAAATACAAAGCCAAGAGTGTATACTGACGTATTATCCGAAGCGTGGAGAACGAGCTGCAACAAGAGGAGAGGGCACGATGATGAAAATCACGCTGTGAGCTATCTCGTTGTTGAGGGCGTAGGACGATATGAAACAATCTACCCCTATAATGACAACTATCTAAGCGACATACTACCTTCCCTGCCCTAGATTTTTCTTATATACTCTAATCCTATGCAAGACTTTAAATAGCCGAATGGTGGCATTTTGCAAGTTACGTGGCAGCCCTAGCCCGATGTCGGAAGGGTATGACTCAGGTCACCCTTGTTAGCAAAAGAGAGTATGCGTTCTCTTATCAAGTACTCTCTTTACTTTATAGACCTTAACAATAAGAATCCTATAGATCGTCTCAATATTCCTGAGGTTCCCGAAATGACTACTATCAAATTCGAGAAAATGCATGCCAATGGCGACGACTTTGTCATTGTTGATCTCCGCGACCAGGACATCATAATCGATCAGGATATTGCGAGACGACTTGGAGATCGAAATCGCGGGATCGGATTCAACCAACTCGTGGTTCTGTCAGCTTGCAACGATGCAGCAGCTTATCTAGCTTTTTGGAATGCAGACGGTTCAACATTGAACGCCTGTGGGAGTGCTACCCGTGGCGTGGCTTGGAAGTTGATGCGCGAAACTGGCTCATCCACTACGACTCTAAGGACGATACGGGGACTCCTACAATGCCACAAGGTTTCGGATCACTTCATTGCCGTCAGTATGGGCTGCCCTCTTATAGACTGGCGCGAGATTCCAACCGCCCACGAGGTCGATACTCTCAGGCTGCCTCTATCTGGAGATCCCGCTGCGTGCAATATGGGAAATCCACATTGCACGTTCTTCGTGGACGATCTGTCAGCCGTGGACGTCATGGCGCGTGGATCAGCTATCGAAAAGCACCCTTTGTTCCCAGAAAAGACAAACGTTCACTTTGTTCAAGTGCTGACCCCCTCGCACATTCGACTGAGGATATGGGAACGAGGCGGTGGTATTCCTCTGGGCTCAGGGTCTTGTTCGTGTGGGGCAGTCGTCAACGGCGTTCGCCGCGGCTTGTTGGAGGGCAGAGTGAAAGTGGAGTGCGATGGAGGATCTGTTATAGTGAGCTGGGATGGCAAAGGAGATGTATTCTTAGAAGGGCCAGTAGAATTTAGCTTTCGTGGTATCTGGACCGACTGATTATTGACAGGTAGACCTCAACGCTCGACAGAAGGAACAATGCCAAGAGATTTCAAGACTGTATTTTTGAGGCCTCATTACTTGTCAGGCTGCTTCGGCAGGGCTATAGAAGTCACTGTTGTGAACACCTGAAAACCTCTGCTATTGGGGGGTTGAAGGGGATGAGCGGTACAACCACTTCACCTTGCAGTACATCGCCTTTGGTACCTCAGCTTGAGATTCTCCCATCTTGGGCAGTATATTTAAGGCCGCACTATAATAGCAAGTTCGCAATAAACACAGGAAATGACGTTTTGCCGTTTCCAAGCTAGAAGGTGATGAATAAACAGCGCATCATGAATCTGTATTCCGCGCTTATTCTAGGGCCCGCGGAAATTATTCCGTGTTACATTTTTGGACTCCGTAAAATACAATCATCAAGGCATCACTCGCCTCTCTTGCCTTTCCCTTGCACCCTGTTTTCAAGGTCCATGATACCTGGAAACTTCTTCAGAACATCGATTCTGTTACTGGTCATTGCGTTTGAATCAGGTGGCGATAAATTCCTCACAGTTGAGACGAGGTGCCATTACTTTGTAGTCGGCGCCATTTCGGTGTTTTGACTATTTCCGAGCCCTTCTAGGTACACTAACACAGACAAGTCACAGCCTGCGTTAGTCTTTTCATATGAGCGCACATAATGGGCTGGTTCTTGTGTCTTGGAGACTTGGTCTCTCTGGCGCTGTGGCCAGTTTTAAGCTTGTCTATAATTGAGTGATACTGTCCCGGATTTTGTCCGTCCGCTTTTTGTGAAACTCAGCCGGATATCTGACGCTCGAGAGCTTGAAAGTATATCGAACAACCAACTCTTCGGTTTTTTTTTATAGTATTAGCAATTCGCGGCAGTGAAAGGGAGATTCAACAGATCGATTCTCTATCTAGCTAGTAATATGAAGAACCCGAGCACACCTCGTCACGGGAAATTTGAGCTCTAGAATATTATCTCCTTCCTTCCAGATGGCTTGAGTAGGCAGTCGCTTGGGATACATGACGTTTACTTGAACCTTGCCGCATCCAGCCAGTCTTGGTAGCGATATCTCCTTCAAGGTGCTCCCGCCTCGACGCCACACTGCAAGGTATAGACCATTGCTAGTCTCCAAGCCCAGCGAGATCCAGTCGTCATGCCATCGAGGTGGTCCCAACGGCCAAATAGCATGTGCAGTCACAAGATGCGGACGAATCGTCTTGTAGGCTTGCATCCCCTCGACGATGAGCTCCATCTGCGAAGGGCTCAAGCGATCCAGTCTACCGCTGAGATACACTCTCCCGAACAGACTGTTCACGACAGTAAAGGCATTGAGCTCGTCACTCCATTCCGGTTGAGGATATGCCCAGCTCGCACTTTGCTCAGGCAGGACACATGTTGGCAGCGCTGCAGCGATGGCTGCGTACAGGATAGGGTCTTGCTGGTCGCTGGTTGACTGGAGAGAGTGGACTGACAGCATGGCGTAATCCATCCTTTGCGCGCCGCTGGAGCAATTCTCGATCACAAGATTTTGATGCTTATCGAGTAGTGACCGCACCCAGTCGAGATAACATCTCTGGTGGAGGAGTTGGTTGGCACCAGCGGATGACGACCCTGGAGCATCTGTTCCTTGGACGACTTCGATGTTGTAGTCGAACTTGAAATACCCAACGCCGTAATGGACCACAAGTCTATCAACGACCTTGGTCATCCAGGCTTGCACCTCTGGATGGCGAAAGTCGAGTTGGAATCTTCCCCTCTCGATAACTCGTTGCCCATTCTCGTGAAAGAATGCATCCTCTGGCAGTCTTTCACCAACAACACTTCGGACACCCACGACTTCAGGCTCCAACCACAGCCCTGGAATGAGCCCTTTGCTCTTAATCTTGACCATAAGTGTCTTGAAGCCAGAGGGAAAACGTTTCTTGGAAGGTTCCCACAGACCAACGTCATCCCACCAGTTACTATCATCAGCGTACCAACCGGCATCAATGACAAAGTATTCGGCCCCTGACTGGGCCACTGGGTCAAGTAAAGCTTCGATCTTGTCTTCGTCTGGGTCGCCCATGAGACAGTTCATGTAGTCGTTGAAAATTATCGGAAGCCTCTTGTTATCATCATGCGGGCGAATGATTCGTCGTCTATAGTCGTTCAGTGCACGAACTGCGTCTTGGAAACATCCCGAAACGCGAGTCAGCGCGATCGGGGGCGAAGTGAAGCTGTCACCGGGACGTAGAGTATGCCTCCAATCGTGGTCTGCCTTGGTTGGGCCTCCAGCCGCGATGTAGATGCTGTCTTTGTAGTCGCCGATTTCCCATCTCCAGGATCCATTGTGCTCGACCTGCCAAGCCCAGGTATCCGAGTTTGACTCAGACTCTAATATACCCATCGGTAGGTACGAGCCAGTTGAGAAGGATCCCCTGTTCTGGAGACCAAAGGTTGCCTGCGACCCTGAGTGACCATCGTGTAGCTCACAGATACCGTTTTTGTCTATGCCAAGGTAGGGCAGTGAGTGTTTGCGCCATTGAGCCTCTCTGAACCATGTATTGGTTGCCGTCCTAAGGACATAGTCTTTGTTCCATTCATTTGATCTTGTTGTCAGGCCTCCAATGGTCAAAGATGAAAGCTGCGTGACAATAACATCAGATGACTTGGATTCATTTCTGATTGTGACGGCTGAGCGAATAACAGGCACGTCTCCGTATATGCTCAAGTGAGCAGTCACGGAGATTCCCGCCCTTTCATCCGCACTATGAATGTCCAGTATGTGTACATCTCCATCTTGGCTCTGATGGTGACTTTTGTATCTCAACCTGGAAGACAGATATCCGCCAACAAGTGATTTTGCCGTCTTATCATTGGTATTGCCTTCGCCGCTGAGCCTGACACTGACGAGTGGTAACTCGGACGAGGCAAAGAGGTGTGAAGCCGACTTCTGGTGGCAATGATTCAAGGGGAGAATCTCAAAAAGGCAAATGGCCCCAGACTCGTTCTTGGTAAAGTTGATGGTCAACGAGGTGGTTTTCCAGGAGATGAAGACGGGATTCTCTGCCATTGCAAAGACGATGATGCTGCAATGATCTAAAAGGAGTGAACGTCAGAGGGATGCATAAACATATGATAACCCTACACTTTCTCTTATACATGTCAGAGATGCAGATCCCTACTTAACCCAACACATTATCCATCTCTGCCTCTCCTAATACGAGCGTTGACATTGTGCTACTGGTCTTGGTCCCGCTTCTGCTCCTCACCCTTCAGAAGAAGGTTAGGAATCCCGGGTACTAGGAAACACAGAGTGGGGGTGGAATAAGCGATGATACCGGACTCTACAGCGAATATCTAAGCTCGGTTGGCCTGTAAAGGTTTAGTGGCTGGCAGTAGTTGAGTATCGGGATTTCATTGTGGGGGTGGATTGTCCGACATAAATCTTCAACGACGAGGCTTGTCCCGGATTGGGTGTAGTCTTAGGGACTAGACGGCCACGAACACCACGGAATCCCGAAGAACCTGGCACACCAATTTAGTCTTGAGTCTAGATCAATGGGAATTCTTTACGCTTTGACAATGCCTCACATTGGAGCGCATGATATTGGTGTGGCCTGCTTCTCCGCATTCTGGTCACTTCGTGGCATTTCCCCACGGGGCCTGAGAGCTAGTTCGGCTGTCATCCGACTTTGAAGTATCCCAGGTGAAAGTCATAGCGACTCGTCAGAGTCAGGAATTACTCGTTTGCAAGTATAAAATCCAGAGCTCGGACGCTCTGCGAGTTCAATAGCAGCCATCTTGATCCATATCCACTTCCTACTATCAGTATTTGTTATCATCAGCAGCATCAAATAGAACTACTGCACCGGCCATGGAGAAGACCATCTCTGCTCACTCGGTTGAGCACAACGAAGACCTAGCTATGCACGATACGCACGGCCAAAAGGGAAATTCCAACGCCATTCTTGGCCGTGCTGGCTCCTGGGAAGCCACCTTGGACGAAGCCCAAGCAGCAAATGCGCATGAGCATGCTCTCACTGTTCGTCAAGCTCTCAAATCCTACCCATGGGCTGTCGCCTGGTCCCTCGTAGTGTCACTCTCCATTATCATGGAGGGCTATGATACCATCTTGATTGGCTCGCTCTATGCCTACCCTACCTACGCTCGTCGATTTGGAGAATATCAGGATTCAACCCAGACGTATCAGATCCCTGCCCGCTGGCAGAGTGCCATGGGGAGCGGTCCGCAAGCCGGTGCCATCGTTGGCGCCATCTTGAATGGATTCATCATACAGCGCTTTGGTTATCGACCTGCCTTCTTTCTCGGCGTCGTATTGATGGCTGCGTTTGTCATGGTGTCATTCTTTGGCATGTCTGTTGAGCTTCAGGCAGTGGGACAGATTCTCTGCGGGTAAGTCGACCAAGTTCTCCCCTGATGGACTATCATCTTTAGTAACTCTGCTAATTCCTGACCAAGACTCCCTTGGGGTATCTTCGCCACGATCGGTCCTGCATATGCTTCCGAACTATGCCCGCTTCCTCTTCGCGTATATCTTACAGCCTATACCAACATGTGCTTCGCAACAGGCCAGCTTATCGGCGCTGGGGTCCTCAAGAGTTTCATTGAGTGGGACAACGACTGGGCATGGCGGGTTCCTTTTGCTCTACAATGGCTGTGGATCCCATTCCTCTTCGTCGCCTGTGTATTCATGCCCGAGTCACCCTGGTATCTTGTCCGTAAAGGTCGATACGACGAGGCTGAAAAGAGTGTCCTCCGCCTCATGGCCGCTCACGAGAAGCCCCAAGCAAAGCCTCTCGTTGCCCTGATGATTCACACGAACGAGACGGAGAAACGTATTTCAGAAGGCACTTCATATTGGGATTGCTTCAAGACAGCTGATATACGCCGTACGGAGATTGCTTGTGTGTCGTTCCTTGGCCAGATTACCTGCGGTGCCCAATTCGCCTATTCTGCCACGTACTTCTTCCAGCAAGCAGGACTGGACTCGGAAACCTCGTACAACCTCAATCTTGGTGGCACTGGAATGGCATTCTGTGGTACAATTGCTTCGTGGTTCCTGATGAGACACATCGGCCGCCGAAACTTGTATCTCGCAGGCATGAGTCTCATGAGCATGTGGCTCCTCATCATCGGCGCTTTAGCTACCAACACTACCAATCCGGCCGTCAAGTGGGTTCAGTCGATCCTTTGCTTGATCTGGCTCCTTACTTTCTCTCTTACCGTCGGCCCAATCGGATGGGCCATCCCTGCCGAAGTTTCGTCCACGCGTTTGCGATCCAAGACAGTAGTGTTGGCCAGAACCTCATACTACCTGGCGCAAATCGTTGCCAATGTAATTCAGCCATATATGATGAATCCTTCTGCTTGGAATTGGAAAGGTTAGTACATCACTCCCATTTTAGCTCTCTGGAAATACTAACCTCGGATCACAGGCAAAACTGGTTTCTTCTGGTTCGCTTTTGCGTGTCTTAGTGTTGTCTGGGCTTTCTTCCGCCTTCCTGAGACGAAGGGTCGCAGCTACGAAGAACTTGACCTGATGTTCGAGGCCAAGCTTCCTACGAGAAAATTCAAGAGCTATCACGTTGATGCATATGATAACAGCCAGGGAACAGGAGTGATCAAGGTTTAGAGCTGCAAAGGGACTTCTGTGTTGATCCTAGGCGAAACATAGTTCATGAACCTAGCTTTCCTTTAAATAGCTATTGAAGTAGTTGTTGGCGGCTCGAATAGAGCTCATCTATTAGCTATCGTTCCATAAGACATCGGGGGACCGACTAAGAAGACATCATGCTAATTCCCCTTTCCCCAGTGTCAATCCCCATTGGTCTCTCAGTCTACACTGCGATCATCTATCCCACTGCGGCACTCCTAGGTCTTGTAGAAATCTAGCGTAAGTCTCAGAAATACCCCAAGGCTTGTGCTGTTCCATCAGTAAACTCGACACTTCTTGCAGAATCTGTAATGGACCTTTGGTGGCACAAAGGTCATCCACTCCCTCAAGAGGAAGACGCAAGTCCTCACCAGATCTTATAAAGTACTGAACAAGTTCATCGTCCATCGGCCTATCTAATTGCATGGTCCTTGGCATTCGCCGTCTTCTTGACATGTTATCGCCTATCGCATGGCTTCCTAATGAACCCTGTGTCGTAGTCGAAGGACTCATAGAGTCCTCGTTGTCGCTCAATGGAGACTGTGCTATAGTACATGCAGATTCGTAAACCTTTCGAATATTCGAGGTTTGCCCGTAAGCCCAAAGGACCAAAGATGCAAGAAATAGAGAAAATGGTTCGACAATGGAGTCTGATGAGTATCTCCTCACATGCCACAGAACAGCCCCGGCATGTATCACTGCCAGACGAGCTTTATATCGATCTTGAGTCGCCCAGATCTTGATAGTCTGTCTTGGTCCTAAGCTGGAGGTACCATGGCGATAGAGACTACTGGGGGTCATGTGTACAATCCCCGAGAGAGTATTCTGGGCAGCAAAGGTGAGTAGGTCTTGGACTGGGACAAGGAGTGAGAGTCGGGCTAGATGTAGATGCAGTAATACTGGATCTTCAAGTCCTTCTGCCTTGGCTGATAGACTTAGTGCTTCCCAGTGCAGCACATCCAAGCAGTCACAACACTGATTGCGCCACTTTATGTATTCGGGTACTGAACCAAGGTACCTTCTCTCAGGTGCGTGGATGAAGTTTGGCTGATTTCCTTGTGGCATGTCGCGAAGTGCATCAGCCAAGTATTCGTTGGCGTTCCATCGGCGATGCACCAGCATGTGGATTATGACTATGGTCGCAAATAAATTCGTCGAATGCTGAGATTTCAAGTCTCGCCAAAGCTCCAAAGTTACTTCAGGCACTGTAGGTCGTGAGGCTTCTTCTGCAGAGAAGGCTGTTGGATCGGCATCTCGGTCTGCTAACCTTGCTGTAGACCAATCCTGTGGCGACTTGGCCGCCCATAGTTCCTCTCGGCATGGAAGCCGCAGTTGAGGCTTATCGGGGAATAAGCACGGGTGATGCTCAGAAGCAAGAGCGAAATAACAACTGGCTAGCTATGCGTCATATTAGAACATGACATCAATTGCAAACAAGCGAAGCGAGCTACTTACCCAAATGAAAAGACCCGTCCTTCTTCGTGTTTCTCGAAATCGCCAGGTGATCCACTTCTGCTCCAGACTCTGATCATCCTGATATGAACCGATATTATCATCCTCACTCAGCAAGCGAAGCCGAAGGCATGCTTGCGCTGCCATCGCTAAGGCATTGTACCCGCATCTGAGGAGCTCCGGCTGACGACTTTGACAGAGTCCAACTGACGCCAGGATCCGGGCCTGTATGTAAGGCAACGGCTCCTGGGAGTTGACAAAATCGAGCTATGCAAAGTTAGCTAGACACCTGTCAGATTATAGGGCGGCGATTGATATACTTCTCTTGCCATGAGCTCATGCAGGATGCAGGTTAAGCAATCCCCAAAGCGATTAACTTCTTCAGAACCAAAGTATTTAGACCCAATGGCAGCGGTAGCTAGGCACAGGCTCCAGCCCCAGAGGGGAATAGACAAATGCGATCCGTCAACAAAAGGGTTTACCGGGTGAAAGTGCTCGAAGTAAAGGCTGACAAATAGTTGAAATGTGCTTTTCGTTAGCAGACTTTCTTTGTGTGCGGCAAAGTCGGCAAGTATGTGGGAGCTGGTAGCATGAGAGTCCAGTCTTGACATGAGCTCCTCGAATATACTATCTGGGACGTCACCGGAGGCTTCATTCCGTTGGCTCGCTGCCTCGACTCTGGCATCTAGGTCGCTGATCCATGATATTTGAATCTGCTGGTCCGGACTTGGTCCATGATCTTCGCCATATGCAGCGCGTCGTTGTCGCATGTATCTCTCTGCTCGGCTTTCTCTGAAACCCGCTCCGTCTGAATAATGCGTGGCTTTAATGCAGGGGAGCGAAGGATCTTCACTGATTTCCGAAGACTGTGCTTTCCTTTGGTTGTTTGAGGCCATGGAGGCAATCAAGGCAGAAACATGGTCCTGCTGTAAGCTTTGCTCGTGTATCTCTGGGAGAATCGGAAGCAAGGCTTGCGTCTCAGGGTTCTGGGGAGCAGTTGCAGGTTCTAGACGGGGCATGTCGTTAAGACTATGTAGGAACGAGCGGTTCAGTGGGACATCATCAAATGGAAGCCAGTTTGTGGGCAACGAATAGGTGTCTGTGATATCACCAACGATACTCGTCGGCCCTTCAGCGTCACGCCTGAAATGGCTATTCGCTGATGAGCTTTGGCCGTCGTTACTGGTAATTTGATCACTTTGTATCAAATCTCTCTGGCCTTGAACACCACCAGTCATGTCTTGTTGGCGCGTCGAAGTTTCAAGCCAATCAAGTGCGGTCCCAGGCGTAGCTATAGTACCAGGCGACTGCACAGTTGACGCTGTTCTTCCACCTGCAAAACCCTGCTTTCCAGAGGAATTAGGCATGATTTGACGTTGCCGACTTTTCCGGGGCGGGTAAGAGCATGCAAAATTTCTCGCCGCGCAGTAGGTACATGGTGTCCCTCCTGAGCATTTGATGCGTGAATTAGAACAAGGGGCGCAGGTTCGCCGTAGTGACGAAACAGTTGAGTTTTGTGCGCCTCCAGGCGTTTCCCGTCCATGTAACCGTTCATGACGCTGTGCCGCATCCCTAGACAATTGACAGCAGTAAGCAAATTGTTGGCAATGGCATAGCTCAAATAAGGTATTTGTTCTTGATGGTAGATGGTACTTACTTGCGACTGAATCTTTTATTGCAGTAGGTGCATTCAATAGCCTTTGTTTGAGTGTGCGTCTGAGTGTGTCGCTTCAGATGCTCATACCGCGAGAACTGTCGCTTGCATATCTCACATTCGAGCGAGGTCTCGTGTTGATCATCCTGTATCTCTGGCGACTCATTAGATGTCGTATCCGCCATTCGTGTTTCTTTTTATGCCAGAGCGGTATGAGTTTTAGCAGATGTGAAATTACCAGCTTTAGGAGGGAGAAAGGATGCTAATAAATATCGGCTTCTTAGACTAAGGTGGCTGCAGCACGCACTAAAATATAGCGCCCTGGGAGTACGAGGTGATAGGTACGCTTCATCTCATCATGAGGTCCAGGTATTCACCCCGCACAGAGCTTACTGGATCAGGAAAAGATGAGAGCTCTGAAGGCTTGATCCCAAACCATTGACAGAAGTCAATGGAGTGTAAACAAGCGCCTTAGATGCGATATCCATTAACTATACTTCAGTCTCTGTATAGGCTGCATAATTCAAATACCGCCGTGGACTGTTTCTCACCAGCTAGGTATTACACAGTGCTGAAATGTATTTCTCTAACGCTCGCTGGGGGCATTTGGTACTTGGAGCGCATTGCAATGAAGTGGAAATAAGCTCGTACTCTGTGAATCGCCCTCAATACGCACATACATCGAGTTCGGTAAACTGCATAGAGACCGACACCAACTGAATGCTCAAGCGTGTTGAACTCGCTAAAGAAGCCCCGTTGGCTCAGTGGTAAAGCGTATCACTAGTAATGATAAGATCACTGGTTCGATTCCAGTACGGGGCAAGCGACATATTTGCTTTTTGCAGTTTTAGCATTTAAGTTAGTTCACTAATAAGATCGAGTTCGCTATAGCGTTTCCCATTATAATAAAGTTTCTAGTAAGCTACTGATTTATTATAAATTTATATTATTTCACTTTATATATTAATACTCCTTATTGAATAAGTAATTATATAAATTAATAAGGTTTAGAGATATGACCCTATTTACTGTATTTATCTTTTAAGCTATAAAACTATCTGCTTATTTATACACACTCTTAGGGCCAATATTAAAGCCGGTTATGAAATGCAATCAAGAACTTAATAACATTCTTCCAATCCGAGACCTGTTTGCTAAGTCAGTTCGTCTTGGCCGAGGCCCATATAGATCCACAACTACGTTCAAGCATCGGCCTAGCAGTCGGGCCTCGGATGGATGTATTGTGCGAATGCTCTGTATGAAAACATAATTCCAAAAGCGATTTGTCATTCCCTGGAGACCTAAAAAAAAGCTTCTATGGATATAAGAACAGCAATAAGTTGTCCTGTTATAGGTCACAGTCCCAATTCATACCAACAACTTGATAACAACTACAACCTACACATTTCCAGTTTGGGCATCTTCTCACCATGGCTCAGCATCAGCTTGATGAATACGTCTGTGTCACTCGCGAGATAAATGCCCCTGTTGCCGAAGTTTGGGGCATGATTGCTGGCTTTGGGGCTGAGAAAGCGTGGTATCCTGGTTGCCTTCGACTCTCTGTTGAAGGCTTTGGGATCGGCAGCACTCGCACCTTTGACTACGAGTATCCTGAAGGAGAGCATAAAGGAGAGCGCTATACATTTTCGGAGGAGATGACCGAGGTTGACGCAGCGAACCATTCTATGACACTCAGAGTGCGCAGGCCTGACTATCCCGATATGATCGCTTATGGAACTACAATCCTGGACTCTCTGGGACCTAACAAGACGCAATTCCGTTGGCTTGCGAATGGTAGCCCTCTGCCTGATGCGTACACGGCAATTCTGCGAAAAGATCTCGACTTTCGATTCAACCAACTCATTGATGCTATTGCTGCCGTGGTTGAGTCAAAGTGATCTGAACGATGCATCATGCGTAGGTAAGCAACTTTATGGTTCTTCATTGAGTTTATACCAATCTCGTCTCCAAGTTTGACACAGACGTCCGAATAAAGAGCAAAGCATAGAGTGCGGTGTTATTTCAAGATTGGACTTAGGGTGAGGCCAGACCATTGTCAATTATTGGCGGATACGTTCTGCTCCTTAATGTGTGCCTGGGCATTCTTTCGCTGGATGTGGTACTATATTGCAGTTGGGATACGCACCTTGAGAAATTTGAGAGAAAACTTTCTCCACTCTGGTCCAGATACTTTTACTGACGGCTGACGGTCAGATACTGGTAGCTACTTAGATCTATCTAATCTGACTCGGCAAGAGACTGAATGACCTCGAAGGTATGATCCCAAATCTTTTGAGAAGCGCCCATCTTCTCAAGATCAGCAAGTAGATTGTCCTGTTCCACAATCTCGAACTTGTCGTTGATTGAGAAAAGCGAACCTCTGGCTCCATGGGCCAGAGTCTGAGCTGCATGTCGCCCATTCTGTACTGGAACACCATTGCCTCCGAACTCCGCGCTCGTGACCAAATACACACATCTTTCGCCGGATTCTTCCGGTGTAAGCTTGACAAAGTCACCCGCAGGCGGAGCTGTAGCCATGCTCGGATCGAACTTCCCCGCCCAACTCTTCATGAACAAGTCTGTGCTAACTATGCCAGGATGCGAGTGAATGAAGATAATGTCCTTGTTCTCCGGCGCTTCAGCGATAGGTTTGAGAGTCAGGGTGGCGGAGGTAGCAGCGTGGGCGGCGAAATTGGGGATGTTAAATCGACCGGGCTCTTTGAGGGTTAAATCTTCGAGAAAGAAATCTTTCGACTCCTTTCCAGCGGCGAGTACATTGACGACGCGTGGCGATCCAAACGATTTGGCAGCCTCTCTGAGCTGCGGTAGAAGACGCATGATGAAAACGACATGGCTGTAGTAGGACACTACCTGAGATGCCTCTAGACCTTCAGAAGTCTCTGTGATTATTGTAAGCCACATAGGGCCACTATTCTGTGATGATTTAGGAGGGCTTACCTTGGCGGCCAGTAAAGGGTAGGTAGCCTGCTGAAAGGAAGAGAAGGTCAATCTTCTCTTCCTGGGCCGCGATGTGACTAGCAATACGGTGAGAGTCTTTGACAAGAGAGATCTGGCCTTCGATGTAAATCAGGGTTGCCTTTGGGTTCAAAGACTTGAGGTGGTCCAGGAGAGTCTGATGCCCTGCCTTATTGCGGCCCACGATATAGACCTTGATTGGGAAGCACCTAGCGACAAGGTTTGTCAGAGTAGCTTTGCCGATGCCGTCAGTACCGCCTACAAAGACAGCGGTTTTGGGGATATCGGCCTCGGCTATGAGGACGTTTGAGGCACGGATAGGAGGGAAGAATGACATGGCTGCTATTTTGACAGTAGCGTGGAATATGACCAGTGTTATTGTAAGAAGTGTTAGGTATTTAGTATAAATTATTGGCTTTGTTGAGCAAGAGATATATATAGTTTAAGGGCTCTTTATATTTTGTATCACAGCATCCATACACCTGGCTCACCCGCCATAGGACTCATTAGCCGCTTGTGCAACTCGATCTGTGTCCCGGAAAATGAAGCCCCTGCTACAGTGGCCTAAATCGATGGAAACTCTCTGCATGGGCTTATCAATCAGGTCTCGGAGTTAGGCATTTCCCTTGTTTATGCCGAGTAAAGCACTAACAGCTATTATTAATGGATAGCCTGTTTCCGACCGACACTCTGCTTCGGTTCTTGCAGCCGATTCATTGTTGCACCGGGTGGAACACTAGCGTCTAAATGGTTTCTATAGAGCAACGTGCATCTGGATAATCAACCTGTGTTTTCAATGTTTATTATATAAAGGGGCTTTTTATTTACACCAGTTAGCTAGTCGCAGTCCTTGTCAGCCAAATAGCGAGTTGGGAATTATTTCTTAGCTGGAAAGGTTAACAACGAGGAGTTAAGACTAATATAGGTACTTTTACAAATGAAAGCTTGTTAGATCTGTTAATACTACTTAAATAGTCAATATGAATTCATCAAGCTTAATTGGCAATATTAATGGACTATCTTCTTGGACACGGACTATGAAAATGTCCGAAAAGTCCATCGTCGGTCCGACTTACCAACTATTCCCGAGAAGATTTATAATGGCCTTGAGATTACAAACATAAACATGAATTGTCTTCCCGAGCTTGGACCATTTCCTACCCCTTGCCAGCTTGCATACTGAAAGCTGGAGTGCAGCCCTTCTTAGCGGCCATGAACTTGATCTGGTGTAACAGCTAAAGGTGGATCTCGAAGGCTCCGAGCTGGAAACGCGGCATGTAATGGCGAAAGTCTCCTTCTGGGATATCCTCCGGGGATCTGACCTGTCCAGTCACCAGACCACGACGGAGAGGCGAATAGGTTCCGAGATGGGTATCATGGCGTGCACATGCGGTGACTATTCATTGCTGAGAGGGTCGGGTTTATGTGGACTTTCAGCTTCTGATGTTTAATTTTATAATGTATTAAAGTCAACCTTGTTCTATGAGATACAACTCCACTCCCTACATACTTCATTACGGACATTAACTATCCCCTACAAGTCTTGTGCTTCTGACATTTCAGGTAATCTCGTTAGCAGAACGATTCCCTCTTCTGGATAGCCTCAGCTCCTTCAGAATCAACTATCCAGCCCAACTCTAGACTACCAGGACCAGAGATCGATAGCCTACTGGCTCCTGGCGCCTCTTAGTGGAACACCTTCTCCCTCCTCATCGCAAGACTGCAAATCAGACAAATAGATCCAGCCGCGATGATAGGTACGTATGCGAGTTGAATCGCTCTCGTGATGCCATGGATAGCCTCTGCCTTTACGTCAGGTTTTGCGGAGTCGATGAGACCGCTACCGACACCGGCGAGAGCGTCGGCAATCTCGGTCTTGGAGACTTTAGGGAAAACGCGTTGGAGAGCTTGCTGGCCATAGTTGACAAACAAAGCGCCGGACATGCCAGTACCAAAGACGATGCCGAGCATCTGTCCGACTGTCATGAAACCGACACTGTAAGGGATCTCGGTGGGCTTTACTTTCATCTGAGCGACTGCAAAGCCAGCTTGACAGAAGCAACCGACGCCAGTGCCGAGGATGATAGTGTAGCCGTAGATCTTGGCATTAGATGTGTGCTCATCGACGGTGTCTAGTGCATAGTCAGTGCCTGAAGTTCAGGTATTGTCAGAGAGCGGGTGTTACTTACACATTAGAACTCCACCAATGAGCTCCATCAAGGAACCTACGATGTACCAAGGATAGTAGTATCCTGTTCGGCCCATGAATTGACCGTTCAACAAGTTGAAGGCGACTAGGAACAGGATGAAGGGCAATAGGTGGACCGATGTCTCTACAGCCGTGATTCCGCGAGTGAATTGATAATACAGAGGCAGGTAGAAAATGCCGATAAAGCTACCGAACGTTGCCAGCACTGAAGGAACAGTTAGTTTGAGTGGTCTAATACAAGAGTCTTTTAGAATGCATGACTTACTCATTGTAAAGAAGAGGCAAATCATGGTACGGCTCTTCCAGAAGTGCATGGGGAACAGTCGGTTCTCAAAAGTGGTGCCAATCGTGAAGACCTGCTGGAGGACGAACAAGATGAGCAAGACACCGGCTGTAACAAACAGACCAATACTCCTGCCTGCATCCCAGCTCCAAAGAACTCCACCAAAGTTCATCGCCATGATAAGGCATAGGACGGAACCGATTGAAAGAGCTGTACCGAGGTAGTCGATCTGAGCTAGACGGCTAGTCAAAGGGACACCAGCTTGGGGCTTGAAGTCGGGGAGGAGAAGAACATAAATTGGACCAATGACAACCCCGACCAAGAGGTTCAGGTAAAAGGCCCATCGCCAAGTCGCACTACTATCGCCAAGCGATCCTCCAACCACAGGACCAAGAACAGTACCAATACCCCAGATAAAGCCCGTAAGGCTGAGATACTTTGGTCTCTCGGCGTTCGTAGTAGTGACGGACAAGAGTGTCAAAAGGCCCATGTACATGCCGCAACCTCCTGCTCCAGCGATGGCACGGCCGACGATGAAGGAGTCGATATCGGGAGCGCCACCGCAGAGCGCAGAGGCACCCATGAAGACGGTCGTAGAGCCGATGAACAGCTTTTTGGCTGAGAATGTGCCGTAGGCTTTGGACCAGGGAAGTGTCGTGGCGGCTGATGCGAGTGCGAAAGAGACACCAAGCCAGGGAACGAGATCAACGCGTTGATAGGTCTCTACGACTTTGGCTTGAACGTTGGCGACTACGGTATTGTCGAGAGCGTAGAGAAATAGGGCGGATAGAAGAGCACAGACAACCAGGAACCACCTGACACCATGAACATTTCGAGGAGAGGGGTCAGGTGCTGGTTTCTCAACCTGGGGTTCCCTAAGGGCTTCGTTGCCTGAGGAGTAAGGACCTGGAGATGGTGACAAGCGAGACTCGTCCGAGCTGTGACCGGACAGTTTCTCCTGAGAGAAAGACATGGTGAAGAAAAGAAATTAGAAGTTGTACAAGATTAAAGTTTTTAAGGTTATGACGCTAAAAGACACTGTTGAACGATGAGCGAAAACTTCAACGCTAGGTCGTGATCTGGGGTTATGTATTCCTGACGCTGTGGGGAAGCGTAAAAGTTTTTGTAATTAAATCCCTAATTATCACAACCAACAACCGGTTTCAGAAGGCACGAAACGATGCTTAGAAATTTCGTAGAAAATGATAGAAACCATGCAAAGTGAAGGGATTCAGAACCTTGCCAGTCTGGCCCTATAGGGTAAAGAAAACAAGAACAAGGCGACGAGTGAATCCGGCCTGTACCGTAACGTTACAGCGCACTGTGTGGTATTCGCAAGGAGTTTAGCCTAAAAATGGAATTTGTCCCCGTTCGGGTGCCTACGCGAGGTGACCAACAGGCTCGGGGAAATCGCCTGATTGTGAGCTAGCACTAGCTGCCGCAATTGCATCTCGAGATCTCTTGTCGTTCTTGAGGATATGCTCCAGAAGGTTGTGGACTAAAGTGATGCACGTCAGGGATATAAATTTGGGTCTTTAGACCAAGGAACTAGTAGCGCAAGCCAAACTCTCAAATTCAATCTATCCACTCGACTCGCGTTGCACTTCACTTACGACTCTTTGCCAAATGGCTGCGATTACCCAAGTTCAATCCTCTGACGGCAAACCATCTTCAGTAGGATTTCATTACCCTAAACAAGAACAAATTCCACCAGATTCCATCGGCGTCGACCAGATTCTAGTATCTTTCCTCTTCTCCCTCATCAACCCCCAAGACCTCCTCGTTCTTGCAGGTCGCTACCCAGTCAAGCCGCTGCATACCCTAGACAACCAACCCGTCCTGGGTTATGACGGCGTGGCTTGCGTCCAAGCAGTGGGGCCACTGACCAACCCTGCCCAGACCCACATTCGGCCCGGAGACATTGTTGTTCCGCGTCGACATGGATTAGGAACCTGGAGAAGCCAAGCTATTCTTAGCGTGACGGATGTTATTCCCCTGTCGCCTACGAAGGATCTGCTTGGCGCATCTCTACTGCGCATGGCCTTTCTACCGGCTTACCTCCTAGTCGAGGATATGCGTGATCTGAAGCCAGGTGATTGGATCATTCAGAACGCAGGTTCTGGAACCATCGCGAGGCTTGTAGCGCAGTTTGCGCGCCTCAAGGGTGTTCGTACCTGCAGCGTCGTGCGTGATCGGGAGGGTAGCGCTTTCGATGCTCTCAAGGCTGATCTGCAGAGCCAGGGTGTTGAGATCGTGATCACCGAGACAGATCTTGCTGAGCATGGCACACAAGCTTCGGCAGAACTCGCTGATGCTGCTGCAAAGGGTCGTATCGTGCTCGCCATCGACGCTGTCTTTGGTGAGTCTGGCGAGAGACTTGCCAATGCCCTTTCTCACGGTGGAACATATGTCAACTACGGTTCTCTCGGCGGTGCAAGCGGAATTGTTGGTCTATCTCAGCGGTTGCTGTTCTGGTCCGAGGTCAAGTTTCGGAACTTTCGTCTATCTGAACAGCTAAAGGGTCGTACTGCTGCAGAGCAGGAATCTCTTCTGCTGTGGTTCCAGGACCTGCTTTCTCGAGGGCTTTTGCGTACGCCAGCTGTGGAGATCATTCAGGTTCCTCGGGATGTTGAGGGTAGGGATGAGTTTGAGAGGCGCGTAAAGGAGGCTGTTACTGCAGGTCCTGCTAGCGAGGTGGGAAGGATTAAGCAGGTTTTGCAGTTTGGTAGGATCTAGCTGCATATGCGCCTTGTGAGGCTCAACAAAAGTGGTGGGTGGTAGAATTAGGTAGTAATGTAACCCTTTCATGCAGACATAAATCTTTTACGAGTTGTCACATTGAGTGAGATTGCGTCATGCAGCGTACATATTGTCCAACACCGAAAGAGGTATCAGCACGCGCTGATACCTAAATCCTCAGCTAACTTGATATCGGATGTGAGTAATACAAATGTGTCATAGGAATTGTGAAAAGGTGTAATATGCTACGTGGAGCAGCTTGCACTCTCATGCTGGGAGTTGTTAATCCTAAAGAAAAGAATGACTGCACGGCGTCCTATTAATTTAGAAAATTCGGTATCGTCAATCAGACAAGCTATCAGGCAAAGGCAAATTTCTTGGGTAAAAAAAAAAAAAAGTAATATCATCAACTGTTAACATTAGAAGAGAAACGAAATGCATCAAGTCAATACATTAAGTCTTTATAGTTCTTTAGCGGCAAATATACAACTTCACCATGCCTATGATAAGGAGGCTCAAGTCATGACATCAACTGCGAATGCGTATGGCCCTGTTCGCTTCCTGGATTTGTCTTTGCTAGTATTATAGGTATATCTAAAAGACCTAAGTGAAGATAGGATTTATTTATATACGGACTTGGTACATTTTATTTACATATTATAGGCTTAGCTAATATACTGATCAACCCTGCGAGAATCCTACAGAGTTCTCTGTTTCGGCCACGAGTCGGAACGGCAAGGAACCCATTGGGCTCACACTCAGTTCTCAGCTTTTTTAACATTGGTCTAGACAGACTACTGCTAGACACAGGAACAAGAGACAAGTCACAAGAAAGCAAGATTATACCAAATATGTAAATTGATTACTTTATTTCTTGTATAAGTCTAAGGCTACCACTCATTCAAGTTTACTTCTTCGCCTGCTTCTCTCGCTCAATAGCGGACGCATTATACTTTTGCAAAATGTCCAACAAGCCAGGGATAGGCTCGTCAAAATCAATCCTAGCACTATTCATAAACCGAGCCAAGAAACCGTAAATTCCATTGAGGAAGAAAATCTCAGTAATTTCCTCATGACCGAAAGCCTTCAAAGCCTCATCCATGACCTCCTTGCTGACCCGAGGTTGGCGACTGAGCTCTTCAACAATACGAGCGATCAGTCGCTGACGCAGAGTGAACAGGCTCTCAGGCAATGGCTCTTTAGGATTGCGAAGAGCCGCGAATTGTTCATTGGTGAAACCAAGGACGCGGGCAACAGGCTCGTTGACATCCCACTCGTAAGGGGCATCAAGAGTGGCTGCTGTGCGAAGAACAGTGGTTTGCCATTCAGAAGGGAGAATCTTTCGGTTCTCGCTCCAGCTGGAAGAGAGGAGTGTCATGAATGGTTTGAAGAAGACATTGCTGTTGGCGCAGAGCTTTGAGAGTCTGTCAGTTTGTGATGTTAAAGCTTTGCAAGGAAGATGGCTGGCTTACCTTGAAGATATTCCTCTCGAATGGTAGAGTTTGCAGAGCAGCCTTGATGTCCGGGGGTGCCGTGTTGGAGTCGACATAAGGGAGCAGGTGCTCGTTGGTCACGACGCGGTTATCCCAAGAAGCCATGTTCGAAAATTGAATGAAGAAGATGTAACGAAGTATGCCAAAAAGTTGAAAATGCTTTCTCGTGATTTGGTTTGAATCTGCTGTGCTGACTTGAGAAGTGTCTGTCAAAATCCCCATATATAAAAAACGACTATGTAAGACACAATGTAACGTTTCATTCATCAACCATAACGTAAATCACCGCCAGAGTTCTACCTATCGCCATACTCAAGCTTTTCGAGTATCGTAGTCTATTCTCGGCCTGTGCCGCATACGACAACCCCTGGTTCAGTCAGCTCCATCGGAACATTTCCAACGCAGTGCAACAAACACTGTGTAAGATTAGCGTCCCCTCGGAAGCGGGCCGCTTCTAGTAGATTCTCTAGCTGCATGTCGCTAAAGTGTGACAACCCTCGTGATAGAATTGATGCAGTCACATTCTTAAACCTGTTCTAGATGCACGATTTGGGAAACATTTTTCCAGATGCAGGCTTCTGAGTGTTTCGAAAGATTCAGATCCTGTAACTTGTAACCCACCACTTCCTTCTGCAATTATGCAGCTGCATCTCGCCACTTGTCCTCAGGGGGCAGGAAATTCACCTAACCTCGATACAGGCTATCAAAATAAACTTAGCAAAGAGTCACCTAAGCTTAGGCTAGATCTACCTAAATATTTTTATCATTTAGGGTTAAGGTCCTGAGTTTTCTTTCCCCCCCTAGCTTGTAAAAAACATCTTATGGAGTCGCAATTGTGAACGTAATGGGAAGGATTGAGTATGCAGCCGCTGATTCAATAACTACCTTACTTGGTCTTCGATGCAACCCACGTGGCGTCAGTGAGACTGCATATGTCGTGGGGGTTGTAAGCGAAAGCCTTGTTCAACCCGAATACTACATTCCCTACATGCATCATCGCCACTTCCAGAAAAGGCATAGTGCACGTCTTACACAAGTTTTGTGAGGTTATTCCCAAATGTTTCGAGTAATGTCTTGAACGAAACGTATGACGAGATGTGTTCTACTCCTTGTATGGCAGGGAATCCAATCCTTCGGGATAGTGTTCGGCATTGCCGCTCTGCTTACTTGCAGATACTTGCAGCAGAGAAGGCAATTGAGCCGCAGGCCTTGTGTCACCACGGAATTTGAGAAGAATTTTTCAAAGACTCGAATAAAAGACTTCAGGAAGAGAGGATTGAAAGATATTAAGTATAAATAAGGGGACAATCTTGTGAAACAACTATCAATTTCATTCAGCATCACAAGCATATCATCCTCATAGACCAAAAGCATTTAGATTGATACTCCTAGCCTCTTTTGCTTACCACCTTAATACTCTAATTGTCTTTATCATGAAGCTCTATCACCACGTTGAGAAGCACGAGGATTTCTTCCTCCCCTATCAAGACGGTCTCGTCCTCAAGCCCGTTGAAGCCCTCGTCAAGCACGAGAAAGACATGAGCTTTTCTGATGTCGAGACCGTCCTTCCTGCTACTGAGGTCCAGAAGGATATTCTCAAAGAGGATGTTCAATGGGCTGAAGCGGTGCTCTTTTCTGGAAAGACATCTGCTTTGAGCTCTGAGAAGATCTTTGATGCGTGGAGATCTTTGGCATATCACCGTAAGTATTCCACTTTCTGATTAGAGCTGAGATGGAAGTGATTACTAACAGTTGGACTAGATATATGCCTTCGATCTTGCATTACCGATGGACCAACGCCAAAGATCGTGGTCCAGCGATGCATCGAGCCTGTTCAGTGGCGCCGCCCTGAAAAGGGATTTGAAAAGCATCACCGAGGCTCAGCATTCCTGACTGTTGAGCCAACAACCGTTCTGACGAGCTCAATCTCGTTCTTCACTTCCATCGAGCTCTGATTGATACAAACTCCCTTCATACCCTCAGACTTGACTGTCTTCTTCAAATCCACGGTATTCCTGGTATCGAAAGTACTGGATTTACCGCATACACACGATACCTCGCGCAGCAGCGCAAGGACATCGAATCTTCCAAAGCTTTCTGGTCCAAGACTTTCTCAGACATTGCCCCTCAGTCTATCTTTGGGCTTGAACCTGACGCTCTTGGTGGTTTTAACCAGGATAGACATGGAGTCAGTGCTGTTGTTCAAGGCGCAGAGCTAGCAGCGCTGAACAGCCTTGAGAAATCTCACGAGGACTCAAAGGCATGGCGCCAGACGTTCCTTGAAGCGATCTGGGCTCATGTCCTGAGTGCACACTCCGACTCTGAAGAGGTTCTTTTCGGAACTGTTCGACGAGACTCCAACTTCGTGGGATCGGACACTTGCGTCGGATGCCTCGACCAAACCTATCCCGTGCGCCTGCGCGTTCCCACTGGCGAAGACGCAACCTTCCCCGACCTTTCCACTTCACTGGACCAGTACCACACGGAAGCCGGTCGTCACGCATTCATCGGCTACACTGGAATTGAAGAACAGGCCCCAGCTGACATGCTAATCGAAACAGCCGTCAGTTACAGCCAAACCACCAACACACCTTGCATCGCGCCAAGTTTACGAAAATTCCCTGTCGTGTTGTGCATCAACGACGCCAGCGTGTTACAACTCGCTATCAAATGCACAACCAAGATCCCACTGGAGAAGGTCGAACTGGTCTTCAGACACTTCGTTTCGGGTATCTTCAGTACCGCACAGGGCTTGAGCGCAGTGGATAACTTCCCTCTTTCAGACATCCAGCTTGTGTCGGAGGCTGAAAAGCGTTTGATCCTATCTCGTTCGGTTAGTACCCGCAAGGTACAGCCTTCTACTATTCCTGCTTTGTTTGAGAAGACTGCGGCTCGATACCCTGAAAGAGTCGCAGTTGACTTTCAGGGAGAGACTGCACTCACCTTCGCCCAGCTCAACGCCCTCTCCAATCAACTCGCGAGGAAGCTGAGGCTTCAGAAAGGTGCAGTCTATCCCATCTTGGCTGACAGATCTCTGGATCTGGTTGTGGCTATCCTCGCGGTGCTGAAGGCTGGTTCAACGTATACTGTTCTTGACCCAGAATTCTCCGTCAGTCGCCTTGAGCAAGTCATCAACGATTGCAATGCAGCAGCGGTTCTTTCTACACGCAAATACATGAACTTGCTTCCCAAAACTGTCGATATTGAACAAGATCATACGCGACTAAGCACTGATGCCGCAGAATCACTTCGTGACCCTGATGGCATCGGCGTAGACGTAAAGCCTCAAGACCGCTGCTACATCATCTACACATCCGGTAGCACAGGAAAGCCCAAGGGTGCAGTGCTCACTCATGAGGCTGCCACCAGCGGAATGCAGCATCACTCTCTGAACGGGCTGAACCGATGGCTTCTCTTCTACAACCCGAGTTTCAGCGCCGCTCAGCGCACTATCCTCAGCACCCTTGTCAATGGCGGAACTCTCGTGTTGGCACCCAAGGAGGCACTCACCCGGGATCTCGCGGGAGTCATCAATCGGCTTTCGGTCGATGCCCTCGGTATCACACCTTCTGCCCTCTCTCTCTTGTCGCCTATGGATGTCCCAAATCTGAAGAGTATCACCCTCGTGGGCGAGCAGACTCCTCAAGAGCTCGTCAACACTTGGTCTTCTGTCAAGGGACTTACACTGAGGAACACGTATGGCCTCAGCGAATGCACGCAGCTCAACTTTGGAAGATCGTTAGTTACAGTTGATGGGATCGTTCCGAACCCTCGCATCCTAGACCCGCCAATCGACACAACGAGCGTCTTCATCCTCCGTCATGGAAGCACTGAGCTCTCGCCACTACTCGTATTCGGCGAACTCTGTCTCACCGGTCCACAGCTCGCACAAGGCTACGTCAACGAGCCTGGACTCACCGAGAAAGCATTCATCGCCAACCCTTTCGGTGCTGGAAAGCTTTACAGAACTGGTGACAAGGCTCGATGGCTTTCCAATGGCCAGATCGAGATTGAGGGACGTGTCGATATGCAAGTCAAGATCAATGGGCAAAAGGTCGAACCTGCTGAAGTCGATCGTCTTTTGGTCTCGCTTGATGTGATAAAGGGCGCTGTGACATTTTCTGTCAAGATGGAAGATCGCGCAATCCTGGCAACTGGCGTTGTTCTCAATGATGGGTCTTCTTTCAGAGACGCCGTCAACGCAGCGAGGAACCATCTTCGCGCCAACCTGCCAGTCTTCATGACGCCCACTCTTTGGATCCCTATTGAGTCGGTGCCTAGGAATGGCAACGGAAAACTCAACTACCACTTGCTGCGAAGTAAGGCAAAAGAGCTTGGTTTTGCTGGCTTTGCCAAGCTCATGGAATTAGGCAACGAAAAGAATGCGGAGGAAGTCCTCACTGATGTCGAAGAAGAGATTGCATCGGTATGGGCAAGATCTCTCAAGATTGACGGCTCCGTCATCCGTCGATCTCATTCCTTTACCGACCTTGGCGGGACTTCCATTGAGGCCATCCGAGTTGTGTCAGAGCTACGTGAGCACGGTCTAGCAACTGAACTCGGTGACCTGCTGGCCTACATCCCTCTCAGCGATATTGCATCCCGATCTCAGACTCTTGCAGTGGAGGATCAGCAAGACCCGACGCCTTTCTCACTCCTTCAGGATGAGAAGATGCTTGCAGAGTTGCAGGCTAACAGCGATACCAGCGACGCTTATCCTGTCACACCTTTCCAAGAGTCCATGCTGGTGTCGGTTAACTCGCCGTCAGATCCATACACCTATTCCAGGACTTGGGATGTAAGTCAGCTGGATCTCGCACGCCTGAGAGACAGCTTCGAGCAGGTGTTCAGGTCTCGCGACATCCTGCGCACCGTGTTTGTTCCATACAAACAGTCATTTGTACAGACCGTGAGGTCCAACGTAGACCTCCCCTGGTTTCAATCTCAGCAAACACTAGAGGCCTTCCAGCAAAGTGGCAGCGCTCATCACTGGGATATGGAGAAGCCTCTCTGGAAAGCAACTCTGACGTCGGATCAAGCTCTGGTTGTGACAATGCACCATTCACTGTTTGACTTCTGGTCTCACGGCTTCCTGTATGACGACGTCGCCGCTGTCTACACAGGCAATCCGGTTCCTCACCGCCCAAACATGAGCCGATTTATCCGATATTTGCAACAAGAGCCTGCTGCGAACAGCACCTCGTTCTGGTCTGAGTACCTCCAAGGTGCTGAGGTGCTCAAGCTGAACAGTAACCAGCTCTATAGCACCAGTAAGCTTGAGTTCGATCTTGGATACAGTCTTACTTCTCGCGCCCGAAGTGTTGGATTGACTCTCGGGGCAGTTGTATACAGCGCCTGGGCCATCGTTCTGTCTCGGCAGCTGGGATCCAATGACATCACTTTCGCAACCACTGTTTCAGGCAGAGAAGCTCCTGTCGTCGGTATCAATGATCTAGATGGACCTACCATGAGCACTGTTCCACAGAGGATCAAGCTCGACAGTGAATCTAGCCTTCGAGACGTCGCTCAGAAGACAGTTGCTTCATTTTCTCAGCTCCTCAAGCACTCTCAGGTCGGCATCGCTGCAGCGCTCAAAGCAGGTGGCATTGGTACACAAGACATTGACACACTCGTTAACATCTTGATTGATGCCAACAAGACTGAGAGACCCAGAAAGTCTCACGATATCTTCAAGATGCGCGGCTCGCGGCCTCAATGGGAGTCTGGACACGGCATGACTGTTCTGGAGGTCCAAGAATCACAAGGACAGAGCGACTCTACCATTCTCCGACTTTCAAGCAACGTAGACCCTCGACGCTTGGAATTCATCAAGAACTCATTGGTCGAGATGCTTCATCTTTTCTGCGACAAGCCCGATTCTATCCTCTCGTCTGCCAACATCATGGGCACTGCTGAACACGACCTCCTCTACAACCAGCTTTCCAATCGGGTGACACTTCGCGTTCCAGAGCCAGAGTTTCTTTACAGCGCTTTCAAGAGAATTGCACAGGAGACTCCCGATGCTATCGTGATTGACTTCAACAATGAGAAAACCATCTCTTACGGAGTCCTCGATAAGCTAGCGAATCGGTTTGCTCACACTCTTATCGATGCTGGCGTACAACCGGGTGATCTTGTTCCCATCATGCTTGACAAGTCAGTCGATATGATGGTTGTAATTCTTGGCACAATGATCGCTGGAGCAGCGTATGTTCCTTTGAGTCCCGACAATCCCATGGACAGAAACTCCTACATCGTGTCTGACACGTCAGCAAAACTCATTGTTGTTCATCCTACGCACATGGAGTTTGGCGATCATGTCAAGAAGTCTCTTGGAGTTGAGACACTGGTGATGAAAGGCTACCAGGACCTGAGCTCGATAAACTCGCGTGGTGAAGATGCAGACTATTGCCCCGTTGTCAATCACTCCCCAGACAACCTTGCCTATCTGATCTACACTTCCGGCAGCACAGGACTACCCAAGGGTGTCAAGGTCCCCCACAGAACCGCTGCTGCTGCCGTCACGAGCATGATACAAGTCGAAGGCCGCAACCAAGGCGAGTGGAGGACTTTGCAGTTCGCCAACTACGTATTCGACGCATCAGTTCAGGATTTCTTCAACACGCTCAGCAGCGGTGGTACATTGTGCATGGCTCCAACAGACGTCTTGCTTTCAGACATCGCAGGCTGTAGCAACCGAATGGATGTCCGTCAGGCTATCATCACACCAACGGTTGCCAAGTTGCTCAACCCAGCAGATGTCCCACGATTCGAGACACTCATCGTTGGAGGTGAGCCGCTGACCTCCGACGTCATCAAGACTTGGGCGCCTCAATGCAAGATCTTGAACGTCTACGGACCAACTGAGACGTCCATGGTGGTAACCACCAAACAAATTGAGTCGTTCTCAGAAAATCATGCCGTTGGTAATATTGGCGCTCCGTTTGACACCGTCATGGCCTTCATCCTTGATCCAAACGGCGAGACACTACAGCATTACGGTGCCGTCGGAGAACTGTGCATAGCTGGTCCTCAAGTAACAGATGGTTACATCAATAGACCCGACTTGACGACCGCTGCATACGTCGACTGTCCTCAACTTGGAGTTCGACTCTACAGAACTGGCGACTTGGCTCGATGGCTACCTGATGGCGAGATCGAGTGTCTTGGCCGCAAAGACAACCAGGTCAAGATTCACGGTCATCGCATTGAACTTGGAGAGGTTGAAAATGCCATTCGGAACTCGGGTCTTGTTAAGGATGCGATTGCTGTTGCTGCCAAGGTACACGATAAGGTCCACCTGGTTGCGTTCTGTACCTTCAATGATGCTGCTGGAATGGATGGCGCTGGTATTCTCGACCCTTCCACCATGAGAGACACATTTACGAGCCTGCACGAAAAACTCGGATCGTTGGCGACTTATATGGTCCCCAAGTTTGTCATCCCAATGGCTGATTTCCCGAAGCTGCCTTCGCGAAAGGTTGACCGCAAGGCATTGAAGAAGATGCTGGACGACCTCGATCGGGATTTCTTAGCGCAATGCGTCCTGGATTCTCCCAGCCAGGGCCACACAATCGTGCCTGTAGAGACCCCCTCCGAGATTGCTTTGGAGTCGGTCTGGGCGGATATCTTTGGCCTACCGACCGCTCAGATTGGACGCGAGGCAAACTTCTTAGCATTGGGAGGTGATTCGATCTCTGCAATCAGTCTTACTGGCCTTCTTCGCAAACTGGGCTATCATCTGACGGTACTCGATATCCTCCAGTCTCCAAAACTTAGAGACATGGCTTCTGCCATGCGAAAGATGGAGACCGAGTCACTGAGCAAGAGGACGGTCTTTAACGTTCCAGAGAATGTCAAGCAGGCTATTGGAAACACTGGGCTTACATGGGATGATCACGTTGAGTACGGTAGGTTGCCCTCTTTAAACAGTTAAATAGGCCATAAGATGCTAACCTTCAATAGCATACCCTTGTCCCCCCGGCCAAGCAGAGTTCTTGAAACAAGGCGCTCGAGACTCTCAGATGTGGGTGCTTCAGACGGTGCGTCGCATGGCTGGTGTCATCGAGCCTGATGCCTGGATCAAAGCCACCAGGCAGCTCACTGAAGTCAATGACATCTTACGCACGACTTGGCTAGAGGCATCTCCTGGGAACTGGGTTGGAGTTGTCCTTCGCGATGCACAGCCAAACATCGCAACTGTCGCCCTGGACTCAGACGAGCAGATGTCCGACTTCCTCGAAGACTTCTGGCGAACACGCTTTGAGTTCGGTCGTCCCTTCATTAAATACGCCATCATCACTCACGGAGACTCATCCTGGGACTTGATCATCAAGATGGACCATGCCGTATACGACGGAACTCTTCTACGCGTCTTTGATCAGCACTTCGAGAACATTCTACAAGGCAAGCCTTTGCCTCCTCGCGCCGAGTTCCGTGATTTCGCTCAGCATGTCTTTGAGCAAGATAAGTCCAAGGCGCTTACATACTGGAAGGAAAAATTCACACATGCTGAGCAATCATCCCTGATTCTCAAGGGCCACGATCTCAGTACAGTTAGTGAACCTCGCGTGACCGCTAGTTTCAAGATGAAGATGGATACGCGCGGCATCGATCAAGTGGCAAGGAACTATGGCGTCACTCCGAGCATCATCTTCCAGGCGGCGTTCACAGTTTGGCTAGCTAGGGCTACACAGAGTGATCATGTGCGCTATGATTATCTCCTCAGCGGAAGAAATGTGGCACTTCCTGATCCTCAGTCCATCAACGGTACTCTAGCCAACTTCTTGCCGATCTGGACAAGTACGAGCGCCACTGAGAAGGTCTCAGATCTTCTTGCGAGGTTACAAGAGGACTTTTGGGCAGTCACAGAGAATGGCTTAGTTGGACTTGACGATATTTACGAGGCACTGGATGTTTCTCGCGCGGCTCATGGTAACAAGGTCTTGTTTCTGTCACAGCCATTCGACCCTGTTCCATTGGATGATGCAACGACCCGCAATCGATGGCTTGTCATGGCCAAGTCAAAGGTGCGGATGTATCAGCCGTATGCGCTTGTAGTTGAGGTATCGAAGTCCTTTGGTGATAGTTCGATATTGAAGGTCATGTATGATGAGAATGTGTTTGATCATGGGATGGCTGAAGCTTTTGCTTCTGAGATCACTGGGTTGGTATCGGCTATGATGCAGGATGAAAAGAAGATTACGACTGTTGAGGAAGTTTAGATATATGCTTGTAGATTAGACATTTTAGATTAACGCTTAATGGATTTAGATGATACTCATGGTTTCCAGATGCCGTGGGAGAAATTATTATGCATAATAGCTGCTTGCTTAATATGATCTACTCTGCTTAGGAGCATACCGTGACATTAACAAAACACCAATCAGGAGGAGGCTACTGCATACTATGAGTCTATCCTCGCGACTTTCATCTCCTAGAACCTATCGTGAGTAATTATGCCTTCAATGTTAAACTTGGGATGGAAGTCTTCAACGTACCTTCGCTAACAGTCGTCAGACACAGAAAGGTGAAAATATTCAGTGGAACCCTCATCAGTCCGTACACTCGACCTCTCCGCCCTTCCTGCACTAGCTGGTCTTTTAGGTAGGTTATACTTGGATAATACAGTCCGACACACATCTCGAAGAGGCAAAGCGCCCAGAAACGACTGAACTCATCCCGGAGTAAAGTCGTCAACAGTAGAGCTGAGGCCGAGATTGATGACGCAAGCTGAATTGCCCCCGAAGAGAGTTGCGTCGAATTTGTCTCGCGCGACGCATAGAGAAATATGAAAGAGCCCAGAGACGTGGCACCCATGAGACTTGAAAATATTATACCAAAAGGAGGGTTTGCCCAAATTCTCTCATGGGCACGCGCTGACATGATCGTCTGGGGCCATGAGTAAAGGATAACGTGAACAGAGCCCTCGAAGAAGCACATTGTTAATGTGAGAATAACGAGACTCGGGTCTTTTACTCATATTGTCAGCTGAATTTCAGTATGATGGGTCGGAGCTACATACTCATAAGAGACATTGCACTCGCCTTCCACGACGTTTCGACTATCGGGGACTTTCCTGGTGTTCCACGATTCTCGGCCTAGATCTATGTTAGCAAATAATACAAGGTAGACATAAGGCAGACCTACCCAGGATCGAGTTATGACCATTAGCGCCAAGCTTAGACAGATGATACTGAGTAAGAAAGGAGCGGTATGTGAGCCCAAGGCATTCACAGCCGCTTGGGCTACCATACCGCTCCCAGTAGAAGCGATGTTACTTGTCACAGCCATCATGCTATATATCGTGCTCAAAGCAGTCCCGCGGTCCCCAAACGCTTGTCGTTTATACTCAGCTGTCATCCAACTCTGAAACGCCGAGTACAGTAAGGTCGTGCAACAGCCGGCCATGACTCTGCCTACGAACAGTAATACTATATTTCCTGAGACCATAGTAAGGGAGGAGACCGAGTATATCAAACAGAAGCATTGGCACATGACCTTTTTGCCATGCTTATCTGCCAGAGAGTCCACGAATAGTGCGCTGACTCCAGCAGAGACGAAGCCTGTGGCGAAGAGAGTTGCGATGGTAGGCTCTGATAGTTTATGGGTATTCTTCAGACAGCTGTATAAATATGACGCCTGCACTCGGCCGTTGCAAATTAGATACCGCTCTGTTTGGTGCTGTCCTTGTCATTAAGGAACGCACCTGAAGCCATTCTGCCGCCATCGCCAGGCCGTAAGCCCATAGAAACTTGTTGCGAAAATTAAAATATCTATCGCCCATCGACTCATGATTCATATCGTGTATCTCATCGTCGATCATATCAAGACGCCTCGCCTCAGCCGCAGAGGCTCGGTCGACCTTGAACGTCACATGTCTGTGATGCCAGAAGGAAGCAAAAGTGGGCGGTATTATAATGATAATGAGCGTGATAGTATAGTAGTCCATAGCTGGCAGACATGTCGGGATGTTTTATAAAAGAAGGACTCTGAGGCGAAAAAGCCATGTAGTACAAGAAAAGCCTGGGGAGAAAAGGCTAAGAAAATTGGACGATGCCATCGTGGGAATACGAGACGAGGACCGTGCTGAGGTGTTGACGTTTCACTCCATATCCCTGGTGTCTGAGCCTAGCCCTCATTGGTCTGTATGGTAAAACGCCGAAGTGGTTCCCGGGAATCCGGCAGAAGAAGACGGAACTGTGGGCCAGAGGGATTGACGTTATCTTAGCTGCTGACGTAGGAGTTCTATCGTCAATGGAAAAATAGGACAGCTGATCAGTATCGACATGTAAACAAGGCACTATGGGTCTAATAGTCTGAAGAGCTATATCTCGCTGAAAGAATGCCGAGCTTGTGATGTTCATAGGCAAATTGGTCTATCAAGAGAAGACATCTTGGAGACCCACGTTGCCGATTATCCCGTCTCGGCAAGTTGATCCGAGCTTTACGTGTAGGACTAGCCCTATTAATCTGGAGTCCGCGTCTCCTCTGGGAACGGATCGTGCCACTTCAGGTGAAACTCAAAACAACAGTGAAAAGGGGATAATTACCTCAACTCACCATGAGAATATGGTCATCAGCGGTGTTGAGTATTTTTAATGCGAGTTCCTGTTCTTCTTATTTCTCACTTCCCTATATCAATTGTATAAGTTAAAAGCTGAAATTCCAGTTTCTAGGCCCACTTCGTCATGGCCATGTCTCAAAAACTGGTCACAATCAGCTTCATCTTCGCGACGATACTGCTCTTCACTGTATTATTCACGAGAACATCTCCTCGCTTCTCAAAGTCAATATCGCCACAGAATCATGAAGCTGTCTTTAGTAACGATCCTCATTTAAACTCAAGACTCGCTCATGCCGAAAAACTATGGAAGCGCTCTATCAAAGCTCGCGAAGAAATGGTCGAAGTAGTTGGCTACGACAAGACCTTCCCCGACGGATACATGAACCCGTTCAACGTCTGGGACTTTGCTCGCCCAAGTTTCTTCTGCCCTCACGATCTTGAACGTGTCGGCTCCATCAGCGATGGCGGCAAGATCATCTGCGGCATGTCGCGCTATGAGAAAGAATGTCCTGGTCCGTCATCAGACTCAAACAAGGCGCGCGAATTCATCGTCTACTCATTCGGAGTGAATGTCGACTCCTCTTTCGAGGCAGAACTGCTCCAGCGCACGAATGCCCGAATCTGGGGATATGATGGCACCGTTGATAAATGGGCGCAGCAAGTTCCTGAGTGGATATGGTCGCGAGCCAAGTTCCAAAAGGCAATGATTGGGTACGTATCGGATAGCAAGGCTAGACCGCCTGTGTTCTCGATACAGGATCTTATGAAGATGAATGGGCATTCTTATGTTGATCTAATCAAGATGGATATTGAGGGCGCTGAGTTTGATGTTCTGACGTCGTTGATTGAGTCGGTCAAAGAGCAGAGGAAGAATGGAAATGCGACGTTGCCTTTTGGTCAGTTATTGGTTGAGATGCATCTTAAGCAACCACCAGAAGGAATCACGGTCCCAAATGACCTTCGATCATGGCTGGAGTGGTGGTATTCGCTAGAGGAGATGGGCTTGAGGCCAGTGAGCAATGAGGATAATTGGATCGGTGATAGAGTCTATGGCATGCCCAGATTCATGGAAGTATGTCTAAATCAGCCCAGCTTCAGTTTATGCGCAATTTTACTGACAACTATTCATAGTACACATTTATCAACGCAATTGACAAGGAGCGGAATTTGTTACTGTGGACATGAAGGACGGAGCTTCGTATTTAAGCTATATGCAATACTTGAAATACCACATAATCTTCTCAATTTCCCGATATCCAAAGTGAGTTGAATCAGGCTGACTTGGGATCTTGAGGCCAATTGTCCAAAGTAGCCTTCTTTCCAGTCAACGTAACCTGGATCTTAGCTTGCGTAGGCTCATCCAGCAACAGAGTGTAAGTCCCAGGATAAACAACCAAATCACCATTCTCTCCCCTTCGCGCAATGTTATCCAAAGTCCACTCAAGTGAGATATCCTTGGTAGAAGAAGGCGCGACATCATGTAAGCGACCATAAGCTGCAAGTGTCTTGAGAGGATAAGGCTTGGGTCCAACTTCACTCTTGATGAAGACCAGAGAGACAAAGTCAGAGGTAATGCGGCCGGTGTTCTTGACGTTGACTTGGATTGGGGGCAGCGCGCATGTATCGGAATATTGAGCATTGCAACCCTTGAGAAGTTTCTGAATGTCGTAAGTCAACTTGTTGGACTTGAATTTGGCTTGGAATTTGGTGTAATGAAGACCAAAGCCATAGGGCAGAACTGGAGTCGAATACCAGCGATAAGTTCTTCCAGGCAACGACTTGGTAGGTCTGAGGTCCATATCGGTCATGCCAATCTGCTCAGTATACTTGCTCGGGTATTGTGTGACAGGTAGTCGACCAGCAGGACTCTTGCGTCCAGTAAGCAGGTCCATGACTGCAGTACCGCCGTCCTGACCAGGATAGTTGACCCAGAGAATACTGTTAATCTTCTTGTTCTTCAGAAGCGCAGTGTCATCGACTTGATCACCGAGCTGAATAACAACCAATGGCTTGCCGAGACTAGAGAGCTTCTGGAGAAGAGTCAGTTGACTCTCAGGCCAGTCAAGGTTCTCACGATCTCTATCCTCGCCAGCAGCTGAAGCATCAAGACCACCAAAGTAGAGAATGTAATCAGACTTCTTCGCCGCAGCTACGGCATTGGTAGTCCAGTTATCGTGAGACGAACTGTTCTGCAGTGTCGGTCCCCAAGCGACGTTGGTGTCAAGGCCAAGCTTCTCAGCTGCGTAAAGCGGGCTATGGAGGAAAGGAGCGCGACCGCTGTAACCGCCCTGCAGCTTGGAAGTATCGTTGGCCCAGAATCCGACCATCGCAACACTATCCTTCTTCTTGAGCTTCAGAGGCAAGGTACCATCGTTCTTCAGAAGAACAGCACCCTCAACAGCAGACCTGAGCGCGAGATCCTGAGCTTCCTTGGTGTTGACATCCGCAAAGCTAAGCGAGTTCCATTGCGCTTTGACACCGTCAAAGAAACCAGTATGAACAAGCCCTTCGAAGAGACGTTTCAAAGAACGATCCATGAGCTTCTCAGTCAAGAGACCTTGCTTATATGAATCGGAGACGTCGCTGGTAGTAGTATACTCGCAGCTAGAATCCATGCCGTTCTCAAACGCTACCTGGGCGCCTTCCGCATTGGTCTTGACATACTTGTGATTCTGCCAGATATCCTGCATTGCGCCGCAATCACTAGTGATCCAGTTGTTATCGCGGGTCCAGTTCCAGTGCCCTCTGAGGATCGTCTCCTGAAGATAAGAGTTTGCGCACGCGGGGATACCGTTCACGGCGTTGTAGGCGCACATGATGGAGCCAACCTTTGCATCACGGGTGCACTCCTGGAAAGGTCTGACGTAGTACTCAGCCAAGTCCTGAGGAGTAATCTTGGCATCAAAATCATGACGCGTGAAACCTCCCCAGTCCTCAAAGTCGTTTCCAGCATAGTGCTTGCAAGTCGCGACAATACGGCGCTGTTCCTTGTCGCCTTCGAGACCTTTGACGATGTAGCGAGCATAGCGGCTGACATGAAGTGCGTCTTCACCGGGAGTTTCGGAGCCACGACCCCAGCGAGGATCTTTGAAGGGGTTGACGTTGGGTGTCCAGAAGTCAACTCCGCGCCAACCGCCGTTGGTGAACGCACGCGCTTCGGTTCCGACGACGTTACCGATATCGTGAATCAGATCATCGTCGAAAGCGGCTGCCATGAGAAGAGGCATGGGGAATGATGTAGCGGCGTTGTAGGGAGGAGTATCAGCAAAACGACCACCTGGAGATCCGGCGAGGCCATGGAGGGCTTCATTCCACCAGTTGTACCTTGGAAGTCCGATTCTTGGTGCACCAGTTGCATTGCTGCTTTAAGTCAGTCCGAATCCCCAATTGTAATCATGAGCGAGTCTCTTACCTGACCAAGTTGCCCACCTTCTCCTCGGGCGTCAGAGCAGCAACCAAAGCAGCAGCTCTTTTAGCGGGGGATAGCGAGGTATTGCAAATGCCATTCTTGCTCAGCGGTCCCTTGGTACAATCAGGAAGCGTATATGGCGTAGCAGCCTCAGCCAATCCACCCAAAAGAGAAAGCGATAAAGCGCTAGCAGCGACCTGAAGATGGAGCAACATGGTGTTACTCTGCGTGAGAAATAACCTTGCCCTGACCAGAGTCCTGTTCTCGCCGTCTACTCTTATACTTCTCGCTTCATTACTTCATGACCCTTCTCTTCTCCGGTTACTGCGGAGTCATGCATATGCTCATTTGCGGCTCATCATAGCCGAGCAAATAAAAACTCAATAACACAGCGCTCTCCCAGGGGCATATGGCACGATCGGCAATTGTCTAACCGCAGTTGAAGCTATCGGATATTATAATTGAGTGCGGGGAGCCGCGGGGATGCGGGGATCAAAGGTACAGTTTCAGGCAGAATACGGATTGATGTAACATAATAAATAGCCTAATAGCAAAACCTTTAACAAAAGCATAATACAGTGAAGTATGAGGTCACGATCAGCAGGTGTTGATTCTGTTGGTTATGGTCATCAGGGTTACAAAGCTTATGGAAATTACCAGAAGTTAAATATTGGTGCGCTTGGACATCGGAAATGCAAAGGGTCACGGCTAATATACAGGAAACCGTTGGGCACTCGGCCCTTCTTTAGGCTCAGAAGTGTGATATTGGCTGCTGTGTTTCTCCCCATTGAGGCATATTATCTTACTGTACCGCTCGTTTGTCGCATCTGCAACTTGAGCACCACGTGAGCCGATAGATCCCTGAATTAAAGCCTGCACTATCCTGGTGGTGTTAGACGCGGGAATAAACAGGGTTCACTCGATTCTTGGAAGCTGCCCATGTCTGAACCTAATGTACTCCCGTGGCAAGATTCTTTCAGACGCCAATCATGATTCCACTCTACAGAAGACATCCCCTCTTGTCTTCCTTCTCATTTACTGATTTGGACTGGTGGGTTAGGACAGAGATGCCAGTAGACCACGCCGTGATTGATCGAGCTCTGCAAAAGAACCAAGATTGCTACGATCTACTTGCTATGGCCTCTGGACAAAGTCTTTTCCAGATATTCAATCCTTTGAGCCCTGCTACTTTTATAACTCGACGACACCAGTGCCAATTGGCAGGGTAATGTCTCGGAGAAGATAGTCTGGCAATATCCTGTGCGTTTTAGAGCATGCTAGAAGTTTCATGTCGATGTAACTGAAGGTACATTCAGCACATCTCAAATCAGACTATGGTCAGATCGCTTCCTGTTTGTGATAGTTGCAGGATGGTATAGTACAAGCTTAGAAAATGTCCCATGACTAGAATAAGTGTTGAAACTGGTCTCTGTGCCATGATTTAACTGCGAAAAAAGCTGATTTACAATATCAGTGCGTGTTTATTGTGGGATAAGTTGTTTTCACCCCACCAGATCTGTCATCCCTTTGTCCAAGCAGACGCCGGCTCACTATGAGCCTGCCAACGACGCGATTCTACCGAAGTAATGTTGCGATATAATACGCAAGAGGATAGCGATAGACACATTTGAAAAGATGTCACCTAATTGTCCAACAGCTGCAGGACCGTAAAACTCAAATACACCCAGTGCTGCGTTATCCTCAAAGGTATTTCCTCCAGATGCCTCAAAAGTAGCAATAGGCCAGCCCTGGCCTACAACAGGTACAAGCTCCCAGCTTCCAAAGTCGCTGTCAGAAAATGCTTCGATGATCTGCCACAGAGTTGATGTTTTTTGTGTCTTCTTTTTTCGCCACTGCCACCTTTGAGAGGTGCCATTAACCTCAACATCAAACGGCCAGGTAGCGCCATCGTTAAACATGCTCGTCTCCACAAGGTTGGCTTGAAAGCTATCAAAAGTGATGGTGCTCTTGCTACTGAAGGTATGCCGACTCTCTATAGTGCAGATAGGTAAATTCTCAGATGCATATGGCCCCTCTTTGATCTTGAGTCTGCTGCTAGAGAACATCTTTGCAGAGTAGGCTACTGGGCCTTTGAGCTGAGGCCCAAGTTCGAGACAGCTTGTACCTCCGCTGGTCATGACATTCCAGATGTGGAACCTGGCGGGAAGTCTGGTGAAGCCTATGCGAGGGTAGTAACTTGGTGGTCCCTGAAAGCCAGAAGGACCTGCTGCAGGTGGATAGATGGATTGCTGGTGACCTGCGTTGGGAGGTCCCTGATAGTACGGAGGATAGCTTGATGGTGGCTGGTTCATGTTGGAACCCGGCGGAGGGCCAGGCGGTGGATAGTAGTTGGGATAGTCGGACATATTGGTGGAAGCTATAGGCAGTGGAAACATCCCTGGACTGGGGAGGTCCAGGAGTGAGTTATTTGAGGAAAGAGGCAGGGTATGGTGTTTAAATCTTGGCTAAGAGCAATACGGAGAAAACTACGACTGACCCGGGGACTATGTTTGCCTAAATACTTTTCTCAGATTCTCTTGGTTTTCCCATTGATCGCGAGATGATGCTTCTTCGAGGCTTAAGTGGGGTCAAATCAAACTTGAAGCTTACCCGTTTGGGTGAAATCGTGCGCCATGAGTCAAATTGTGGAACCTCAAATGGTGCTGATGAATCATGTCTGACCTTTGGTGTATTAGTTGACAGTCAGTCAACCTGATTATCCGGGCATTGCGAGAAAAGACTATGATCAAAAAAAGAGGCCCAAACTTTTGAGATGGGAAGTAGCCACTGATATATCAATGAAAATGTCAAGTTCAATTGTCATGCAAAATGGAAGGAAAATGGTCAGCGGTTTGCTAAGTTATATCTTCTTGACGATATGAGCCTCTCATAGCTTGAGAAACCCCAGCAAAGCCTTAACTCTTGCCCTCCCACACAGAATTCAACAGCTCATTAACCTTGGTGAATTTATAATCTCGGAAAACTCGATTCCATTCATCCGAGACAGTCCAAGCTCCGCGGTGGAAGGCGGTGAGAGTACCAATGACCACCATCTTGGAGAAAGCCTCTACCTGATCCTGGGGAACCGATGGCAGCGGAAGTCGGGGGTAATTGTCCGTCTTGAGTTCGCCAGCTGCTAGGTCTTCCATCTTGAGCCACTCGATAGCAAAAGGCTCTCCTGCGTGAAGTCAGTACCATTGTTTGTTGTTGCTTGCCGGTATGCTTACCTCTGAGTTCTTCTCCAATTTTGAGAAGTTGACGAATGGAGATACGATCGCCGCTAATACCTCCAATTACGGACCACTCGCCCTCAAAATCGATAGCCTGGGTAACGATGTTGGCAATGTCGTTGACACTTGTATAAGTGATCTCATCATCGAGGGTGCCTTCGACGACTATCGCACGTTTCTTGACGAAATCGACGTTGACTACGGTAGTAGTGATATACTTTGCGGTCTTGTAAGGGTGGCAAAGGTAATCCATAAACCCACCAGGTTGGAATAGTGTATACTCGATAATCTAATTGACTGGATTAGCTCCTGTAATGAAGAGAGTATCTGGGCTAAGATGCCTTCTTATCAGAGTTCAGAGTCTTGAGATAATCTCTAATTTCAATCTTGCCGCTGTACCATGACATGACGTCCAGCGAGTCTGCGAGTTTGGCTCCCCTGAAGCATAGTCAATTGAAGTGTCGCTCGTTAATGCTTGATGTAAAACTCACGTTGCCCACTCGGATGGAGCGAACCTCTTCACGCCAGCCTCGACAGCTGCGTCAATAAGTCGCTTCTGGGTTTCGCTACCCGGATCTAAATGAACGGCTAGGAATGAGAGAACAGTCTCAACACCACGGAATAAATCAACAAGCTTAGACTTGTTTTCGTAATCAGCTTTGATCCAGGTGACGCCTGGGAGCTCTGGAAATGTAGATGGGTCCTAGATCTGTCAGTTACTAGTTACAACAGGCGGATGATGATTCTAGATGTACCTTGCGAACGAGTGCTGTGATATCGTGCTTTCCGGTAGCGACAAGCCTGTCGAGAATCTCTCTAGCGAGCTCTGGAGAAGGTCAATGATTGGGGCAGTGAAACTGTAAGGCTAAACATACCGCTCGAGGCTCCTGCAATAGCGATTTTGACCATATTGGATACTTTTAAGTGTTGGTAGCTGGGAATGAGAGTATTGTGAAGCTGATATGTTTTTGTGAAGCGAGGAGGATCTCATCTTTATACGAATTGTTTCTCATTAGCGATGAGTCCTTTTTTTTAGTCAATTCCAAAATCTAGGGACAACTTTTGACCCGAACACGTAACCTCAATCCTTCGGTCTCTTGGTGATACTAATTCGGCCTGAGCCATCTCCCGCGGTTACGTGATCGGGGTAATTGGTGCCAATCTCCACCCAATCAGGTCAAGGCATCTCTGCTTACTCTCCCGCTTCAATCTGACAAATCCAATATTTGCACCAAGTTTGTGAAGAAATTATCCTTTGACCAGTAAAAGACCAGAAAGTAACTATTAGCGGCAGCATGGGTATTACAGAGCCTCAAGATGAACTGACGGTATGATTCCTCCGCGCGACTCCGTCCAGGCGCTAACATAGGTTTCCAGCGTCGTCGTGAGCGAGGCCGACGCTCCCAAGCAGCTTTTCGCAAGCGACAGGCTCAATCGAATCATGCGCTGGCAGATCAAAATGCGCGTATGAAACAAGGCGTCCAAAGACTACTCGATGCTGTTCAAGGTGATGAGAGACCTGAGATGCTTGGCATCTTTCGCGAGCTTGCAGTCGCTGCTGATCTTGAAGCTCCACCAAAAGTCTCGACGGGAGGGACAGAGCGTCCGAGGACTGAGGCTTCAGGTAGCGATACTACCGCTGTAGAGGCAGACAGCTTCCAGGACTTGTTCGGCCACATTCCCCTGCCAGTGAACTTGTCACAATCAACCCAGTATCGTCTCGAGTGCAGCATGTGGCTAGACCCATTACACTACCTCCGCGTCTCGTTGCCGCCTCAGGATATCCTGCCATATCTTGGACCCGGTGCAGAGACATTTGCAGGCCTTCTCTTCTGGTCCGTCATGGAGCATTACCAAACTGTATGCACGCAACACAACGCCAAAACAGTCATCCAGAGGGGCCTGAAGCATTCAAAAGCCACGCAAGATATCAAACCCTCCTTCATCGAAACTATGGCAAAGGCACGAGTCGAGTATAAGCAAACAGGATCTATCAACCAAGCACATGCTGTCGCCGCTGAAAAGGATCTGGGACTTGTGTTGTGCAATCTCATAGAAACAGAGTATCGATCCACAGGCAAGGATCCGGATCAATGGCTGTCGTGTATCGGGATTGAGAAACGACTCAGGAAGACAATGAGTGATGATTCACTAGAGACTTTGAGAAATGCTGCACTCGGAGATGGGGATGCAGGTTTGCAGTATCTACTGGAAGATGTTAAGTGCAGACTGTACGATAGCTGTGTCTGTTTTGGAGATGGACCTCGATGGGATGTGAAGATCGTGGACCAGTTTTTTGCCCCTTTCACAAGATGCGGAATAGAAGGCGAAATGGGAATACGAGGTGATACGCTTGCATCAGTGTAGCATCTTCATCTCTACTAGCAAGACGTATGTTTTTAAGCAGGAATGAACTCGTACTTCTGTTCTCATGGCCAAATCATCACAAATATCTCCAGGCTAGCCTATAACGAGCTTTATGTGATTGTTACATATTTGACACATATTTACTTCGACATCACGTCGCGTGATGTTCTGATCTACTGTACTAGATACGAAGACTAAGAATGGCCGTTTGTGGATTCAGTCACAAGGCCATCATCCTTGAACTTGTACCTCTCCTCCAGATCCCAGTACTTATTGAATCCAACGCCCTCACAAACTTCGTTGTACGAAAGAATCATAGGTGGTTTCCCCACCGTCATACTTTTCTTCAGTTCTTCCAAGGTCTCGCGGATACTCTTGAGCTTCGCAGCCACAAGAGTCCAGGGATATGCCACAGCACAGAATCCCAGTTCTGCAAGGTCCTTGGCAGACAGATTCTCAGTCTTTCCACCTTCAATAACTAAGGCGATAAGTCAGTACGATTCCTGTGATTGTAGTGAGATTGAGGCTAAGTAAAGTGACTTACTGTTTGCAAATGTGGGGATACCAATCTCCTCTACACATCGCCGCATTGATTCACGATCGGGAAGAGCCTCAACGAAAACGGCATCAACGCCGATTCTTTTGAACTCTTTGGCACGGCTCATGGCCTCTTCCCAGCCATGGATCAAAGCATCGGTTCTCGCTAGGATAAAAATATCCTTGCCTTGATCTCGAGCGTCGCAAGCAGCCTGGATACGGGCATATGCCTCGCCACGAGAGACAACTGACTTGCCCTTGGTATGGCCGCATCCTGAGACGGTTAGCTCTAGATCATTTAAGTACCATGACAGACTTACGCTTTGGCCAGGTTTGGTCCTCAATCATGATTCCAGCAGCGCCAGCATGGGCGTAGCTCTCCACAGTTCTCTTTACATTGAGCGGACTGCCGTATCCGGTATCTCCATCGGCCATAACAGGCACAGAGACCTGCCGCACAGTTTCCTGGATCTTATCGCAGACCTCAGCCATAGCGATATACCCAGTGTCAGGAAGACCATAGGCACTAGCTACAGCATACCCAGCGAGGAAAATCATGGGAAAACCAGCTTCCTCACAGAGTCGTGATGAAAGACCGTCATAGCTGCAGGCGTGGGCGAGGATCTTGGTAGGGTCATTATGGGCCTCGAGCATCATGGTGCGAAGAGCCGAGGCGTGGACGGATGGGATTTTGCCGCGGACATTCTTCAGAGTGCCAGTTACATCTGCGGTCTGGCCTGGCTTGCCAGGCTTTTGCAGGGTTGGGGGATTGAATTGGAAGGGATAGGGGGTGCTGTTGACAATGGACTTGGACATCGTGAATTGAATTGGGGTGTTTGATGCAGATATGTGTTGTTGGGATGATGAGATGTTGGATGATTGATGATGAGCAGTCTGAACGGAGACGTTGGAAGAACAACTTATATACATGATGCCTAGGAATAAGTAAAGGTTCGGAGCTGGTTGACATTCGGATATGCTCGGAAAGTGACGGATACTCGTCTATCCGGAGTAGAGCATGATCCGGATCTAATAAGCTGCCCCGGATAGTTCTTAGAGAATCTGGGGTATGCGGGGTCCCCGCATCTTGGATCTGGATCCGAGATCAGATGCTCCCCTTTCTGCAAGCTGCAAACTTTGAATCCCGGAGACTGACGGGATCTGTCGAAGATAGCGTCAAAGCGTTTCAAAAGTGATAGTTCATCGCTCGACTACTAAAGCCCACCGATATCCTGGCGAAAGATCCATCCAGATCTCCTTGTTCATCAAACTTCATCTCTATTTCCAATTGGTCTTTCGGTACACACTCAAGATGAATCAACCAGAGTCTGAGCACAAGATGTCCCTGGGCACAGAGGAACTTGAACATGCACCAGAACACCAGGAGCAGCAGCGCGTTGACGTTCCCGAGGAGGCCAACAAGCGCATCAAGAATACAGTAAGCCACCAATACTCCCAGATGAAACAGCTTCACTAACAATCATCTAGTTTGACCGCCGTCTTCTACCCATCGTCTGCTGCCTATACATCCTATCCTATCTCGATCGAGGAAATATCGGCAACGCCAAAACCGCCGGTGCAAAAGATGACCTAGGTCTCAGTGACTCCGAATGGGCCTGGGTCCTCAACGCGTTCTACATCTGTTACGTGTGCTTCGAGTGGACTAGTCTTTTCTGGAAGATACTCCCTGCGAGTAAATACGTCGCCGCGCTTTGCGTTTGGTAAGCAAGCCTCTATCTCAATGGCCATGATAGGCACTAACATGTTTTTCATGTAGTTGGGGAACGGCAGCTATGTGCGCTGGTGCCGTGCATAACCTCGGTGGACTTATCGCTTGCCGAGCGCTGCTTGGTATATTCGAGGCGGCGTTTGGTGCTGGTGCACCTTATTTCCTATCTTTGTTCTACCGTCGTGATGAGCTCGGCTTTCGTGTTTCCCTCCTCCTGGGCATGTCGCCCTTGGCCAATTGCTTCGCTTCTGCGTTGGCGTATGGAATCACGCATATCAGTGGTTCACTGGAGCCTTGGAGATATCTCTTCATCATCGGTACGTGGCAACTTGATCATAGCTCTCTGTGCTACAGCTTTCTGACTTGTCTATTATAGAGGGCGCCCCCACGGTAGCTTTCTCCCTCGTTGCTTGGTTCTTCTTGGCAGATTCGCCAGATAAGGCCAAATATCTATCTGAGAAGGATGCCACCTATGCCGTTGAGCGGCTGCAGGTCCGCGATCGCACCAAGAAGAGTGGCGTTCGATGGAACCAGATATTTGCTGGTCTGACAGACTACCAGAACTACGTCCACACCGTCATTCATTTCTGCTGCAACTACTCATTCGCCGGCCTTTCCAACTTTCTGCCCACAATTGTCCGGGATATGGGCTACTCATCCGTCACCGCACAGGGTCTCACTGCACCGCCATACTTTCTGGCCTTCCTTTGCTGCGTGCTAGCAGCTTTAGTGAGTGACAGATATGGCAAGAGAGGGTATGTTGTCGGTGGCAGCGCTTTCATTGGCTTTATTGGCTACCTCATGTTGGTCGTTGTTCAGGATGAGTCTAAGAAGGCAACGCGTTATGCCGCCATCTTTCTGGCCTCGTGTGGAGTCTTTCCTGCGCTTGCTATCAACATCACTTGGCTGCTGAACAATCAGGGAGGGGACTCGAAGAAGGGAGCGGGACTAGCTATCCTGGCTACCTTCGGTCAATGCTCCTCTTTTGTTAGTAGTGTTGTCTTTCCTAGTACGGACGGGTAAGTTTTCCTCTTGCTCATTTCAAAACTTCATACTTGGGCGTTCGTACACTAACACAATGCTTGACCAGACCCCTTTACCTTCGGGGCACCGCTATTGGGTGTGGATTGACCGGACTTATCTCTGTCCTTGCATTAGGTCTGCACTTTGCTTTGGAACGTGAGAACAAGAGAAGGGACCGTGAATATGGCCCTGTGGATTCTGATATGGCTGTTGACGTTACGGAGCTTGGTGATAAGAACAAGAACTTCCGATACCTCACATAACATAGTGCTTTGCTCTGAATTGCTGGAATGGTGGAAGAATCTTCCAATAAGCTTGCCAGCTTGAGTACATCCATCTCATAGTTGATTAGTTATTCTCTTTAACAGTACAAGATTCGATCTTTGCAACATTATCATCATGTTCTCGGCTTCTTCTGTCGCTGGGTGTACCATGTAAATCCAATTTCCAGAGACATCAACCCATAGTTAATCTTTATCATCTATTCCTCGGAAGACATTTCCCGTGTTACACTTTGCAAGTCGCCCCAGAGCGAATGGGGACTTAGCCTGTCAATCCCCGCACGACGCCAAGCTAGCCCACTGAATTAGTCCCACTCGATGTTAGTTAGGCCGTTGCCTGGTGATCAGCGACATCCGGCGCAGAGGTACTTATATCCGTCACCATCCGCCACTTTCCGATTCTCAACATTTCCAGACGAGTGACCACCGAGAGACTCGTGTCGGCCAGAGAAGGACCAATGGATGCTGACGCACAAACCCAGCCCACTTTGCCCGATAATGACGGTCCCTCTCGAAGACGACGCGTCCGTGATTTCCGCCGGGGATACCACGCCTGCGAGTTGTGTCGGAAGAAGAAGATCCGCTGCATCGTCGATCAACCTGGCGCGCCATGCTTGAGATGTCAACGAGAAGTGAAAGAATGTGTATTCAGCGATGAGCGCTCTCATCGAAAGCGAAACAAGACCATCAACAGAAGAGGGTCGTCGGAACAAGGCACGTGTCTTTAGATCTTATGTCCATCTCTCCACCCTCTGCAGCCCGCTTTGCTAACGTGGTGCTTCTACCAGCTCCGGGTTCAGAACATGGTGCTACTATGGCGAGTACCTCGCCGGCTCATGCCAACCTGAGTCAAGACACGTTTACGGAAGAACCATCACAGATGCTCGACGACGGCAACGAATTGACGTTCCCTGACATTTCTATATCGGTCCGCAGTGGACTGCCCGAACACCAGCAGCAAGCTGTTATGAACGAAGCCTCACCGTCTATAAGCTCCACAGGACCTGCAGGTGAAATCACTACGACACTTGTTTCGAACGGTAACGACGCACTACGGCTTTTGTACCAGCCTGCGATTGAACATGCGAACAAGGAGGGTACCTCACCGAGTAATCAACGGCCCATGACACGGCATACACTGCATCGTACCGGAGAAATGTCGAGCCCTGGAACAACAGCCTCTGTGGTGGCATCGAGGCCTAATCACAATTCCCCCAACTCTCTCAGCCCTTTGACGGTATGGCGGGCCTTTCGCTTCGTCAGAATGGGCTGGTTCACCGCCGAGGAAGCAGTCAACTACGTTGACCTGCAAGTATCATCGTTCGAAATGAATGGAAGACATCATGACTAATTGTCTCCTTGGCAGATTTCAGCAAAATCTAGCACCACTATCTCCTGTCTCAAAAGGCTTTGACCTAAGCCACGAAAGACACTATAAACTCATCACACAAGAACCCCTCCTCTGCTGTGTGATCCTGATGATATCATCCCGATACCATGTCTTAAGTGGTCACGGTGGCCTAGCTAGGAGCACTATTGTCCACCACCGACTATGGGAGCACTGTCAGCATCTCGTCATGAGAATTATCTTCGGCCAAGAGAAGCGATCCAAAGCAAAGACAAGAACCCGAGGATCTATTGAAGCTTTGCTACTAATCATAGAGTGGCACCCTCAAGCGATACATCTACCCCCGGCTTCGGATGGCTGGGATTCATCTAATTTGCTCACGGACTTCGATCCTCGGGATGATCAGTTCGATAATCAAGCCGACACGACTGATGATAACGAAGCTCAGTGGCTACGAGATGTTATACTACCCGCCAAAACCTCGGACCGTATGTCTTGGATGTTGCTAGGATGTGTGCAGTCTTTAGCTCTCGAACTTGGTCTTTGCGATGATGGCGAAAGAGGTGACGTGTCTACACAGCCACCAGGATTCAGAGCCCAGCAGACACGATTGCGCGATCTACTATACATCTTCTTAGAGCAGCAGTCCAGTCGCCTAGGATGCCCCTCTATGATGCCGACTTCTGTCTCACGCTTCATGTCAGAGCCTTTCGCAAGAGACTTGCAAGGCAAGTCAACCACGGTGACAGCATGGCTCGACTTGACCAATCTTACACGAACTATTATCGATGTTCTATGTCCTTCGGCAGCAGCGATTCGAGAGATACTTAGTAGCTGCAGATACATAAACATCATCAAGCACTTTCAAAAGCAGCTACTGGGCTGGAAGACAACCCATCTCAGCCACAAAAGTGAGCACACGCCTTCTTCTGTCTTGGGGTCCTTGTTTACTAATTGTTCCTCAATCCAGATTCATCTCCTCATGCATATGAAGACTTGACAATTGAGTTCAATTATCTCCGCGCTTTCATGAACTCCTTCGGCATCCAAGCCGCCGTTGATCGAGTCCTTGGTCGAAGACCCTCAAATTCCATCGACACCGACGTTCTCCAGTCATCTATCACGGCAACGGACTATTCTTTCGTCAAAGAAGTTACCGATTCTTCGTGTCAGGCTCTCGAGTCAGTCAACAGGCTATTCGAAGCTGGTACGCTCCGCTTCTGCCCCGTTCGAGTATTCCTTCGCATCATCATGGTTTCCATCTTCCTTCTAAAAGCTCTGAGTCTGGGAATTCGAACAACAGACCTGGAGACCTCCCTTGGGGTATTGGAGCGAAGTATCCGAGCTTTGAGGAACAGTAATCTCGACGAAATGCACCTCGCTTCTCGGTATGGAGAGTTGCTGGACATGCATCTGGAGAGGTATAGGCAAAGCATGGTCCCAACAACGATTCCACAGGGGATTCGTGGAGTGGACCAAACCTCCCAATGGATATTCGACAATAGCGTGCCGCCAGTAGATGATTCATTGGGGAATTTGTCGATGCCAGCTGTGGATGACTGGCTTGCGCTGCCATTTGATCCAAGCATGGCTCCATTCGGCTTTGCCACTGATGACCCCGACATGGCCGAGCCAGAAGATAGGTCATGGGATTTCTTATGGAGCTTGCCAAACGTATAATCTTCAAATGTATTACTACTTTAACGCAATTCCAATTGAGGTATGCTTATTTGGCCTTTAATTCTGGACTAGGTTGCCTGTTGGAGACTTGATCTGGAACGGAAATAACACTAAATGACTAAAACCGCCGAGCGATTACTATTCAGTAATTGTAAGCTTGCCTTAGCGTCAGTGGGCTGTCGATTACACAACATTGATCCTACTTATTTAGGTAAATGCACTAGAATCTTGATGATTAAAGCAGATATCATCGTGTTGACAAATACATGCGTTTTCTCGATGGTGCGAGAAGTCCCAACAGGTCGGAGGCTGTCGCATCCACTCAAGACAACATACTGGTCTTGTGCTACAGTTGGATGAGTATATATAACGACTGTTCGCACTTGGGAAATAAGAACAGCAGAAACAAACAATTCACTGCAACAATTCTAACTTCCATAATCATAACTCATTCACTCAACACTCATTCAAACAACCTTGCCATGTCTCCTCCATCTACAGTCCTCATCACTGGTGGAAACCGTGGAATCGGCCAAGGCCTCGTCAAGACATTCCTTGCTCGACCATCCCTCACCGTCATTGTTGGCGTCCGCGATCCCTCCCACCCAACTTCCAAAGCTCTCCACGATCTGCCAGTAGGCAAGGGCTCTAAGCTCATCATCGTCAAGCTTGACTCCAGCGTCCCTTCCGATGCTGCCGCGGCCGTTGCTACACTCAAAGCCGATCCCGGCATTGACTCCCTCGACATCGTCATCGCCAATGCCGGGATCGCAAGTGATGGCGGTCTAGTTCGTGACACAACCGTCGACAATATCAAGAAGCACTTTGAGGTCAACACCATCGGCCCTGTTGTTCTCTTTCAAGCCGTCGCAGACCTCCTGCAGGCCAGCAAGACCGGAAATCCTCTCTTCGTTGCTATTTCAACCCTCCTTGGCTCTATGGGCTCCATGGAACACTTGGTAGCACTACCTCCTTCCAGTAGCCCGTATGGTGGTAGTAAGGCTGCACTAAACTGGTTCATTCGACGCCTTCACTTCGAAGAGCCTTGGCTCACTAGTTTTGTCATCCACCCTGGCCTGGTGGAGACCGAAATGGCGGCTGCTACTTTTGGCGAGCAGCTTTCCGCCTATGGAGCCATCACTATCGAGACCAGTGTCAAGTCATTGGTCAACGTTATTGACAAGGCTGGTAAAGAACTCAGTGGAACATTTCAAAACTTCGATGGCACGCCAGTCGCTTGGTAGACCACTACCTTGGAACTAAGCTCTTGGGCCGATGCTGGAGTAGTGCCCTTGTGCTGATGGTTATTAATGCAAGGAAACGTCGGTGGTCCAAAGGTACCCTCTGCCACATGTCAACTAGTGAAGTAGCTTTTATAAATAGACTTCTCTTTAATGTTTTCCATTTCATAATTACTAGACCCGCCCCTATAACAAGCAAATTGACATCCTAATAAAACACCAAGGGCCAGCACCTCCTGGGTGGTGCAGAATCCAACTGGTAGCTCAAAAGCAGTCAAGATGAAGGCGTTCAGGGATGGCTGTAGGTTGTAACCACTGATGGATCAGCCGCAGGTTGGTATTATCAAACGGCCCGATGGCTTGTAGGCCGCCATGTGCCTCTGTGCTGGGCACACTAAACCCCAGACAAGTGAAGGTCCTTTGATTGGTCATAGCCGTCCTCACTTCTGATATGTTTACTGATCGGTAGCGCCTGTCTCACACCACGCAAGATCGCCATTACATAACACCCCCGCCAATGAGGAAACCCTCCGATAGAGTTGCTCCGAGAGCCCCACATGACTGACAGTGATGGAACGGTGGTGCAGCCTCTTGGTTCAGGTCTCACACGTTCCCTGAGAAGCTTGAAGATGCTGCTCTTGCTCTTCACATCTGGCTTCTTGCTAAAAGCTGATCGCCGAGGGTACCGTGAGCGGTGACAAATTGGCCTACAAGCTGGATTGAGTTTCGATTTTGTTGTAATAGAGCTGTCATTCTTCAAAATGATTTAGATCAGCAACATGGATCCCTTTAATAAACTAATCACTAAGTGACTTCCCTATTCTTCACAGCAAGAGCTACTTACCTTCTTTGGTTTTAAGGCGCAGAAGGCAGATATACATGCTACAAGCCACTATATTGATGCTGAGTGCGGATTGGCTTAGTCACAGTCTCCGAGTATGTTCTCGTGATTACTGATCAAACAACAAGATGTTAGCCCTTGTTTTCTTTATTTCAGCCCTCTCCACATCAACCATTACCTCTGCATCTGATTTCTAAAATCCACGACTTTTCCTTTCTGCATCTACCGGGCTCTCTGGTGTTATTGCAAAGCAATGCCCGACCTAGGCCACAGGTCGGCACAGCCAATTGTACCAGAAATGTATCCCATAACAAGCACAGCAGCCGATAAGGAGCTGCTACTTGAAAAGTCTGGAAGCCAGCCGCTCACCGAGGTCTCCCGAAAGTCTCTAGCAAGTTCGGTCCTGGGGTTCTTAATGAGCTGGCCACCGCTTGCTCCATGTTAGAGTGGTAAGATGCACCTGACTGCACATACCGGATGCTGACTGATCAGCTTCTTTTATAGCCCGTACCCTTGATTGTTGGTTGTATATTGTGGTCTTACCATCCTTGACTTTTTTTATCCTCTTCCCATAGCACGCATAGGTAGTCAGTTTGTTATCTACTGGGGATAACAAAGGGTTTTTTAAAGTAGCTCGTGATATAGTTCCCAATCTTTTTAATAGTTCAGGTGTTGAGATAGAGATAGTAAATGCTTATGCCTTATAACTGTAGGGTTATTCGATGTATTAAAACGTACTACCTTAACGAGATACATTCTATTTGTGCTCTTTCCTTCTGGCATAACTCGATAGCTTGACCATCCATTAGTCCTTCAATATATGATTCACCCACAAATGCGAAATGTTCACCAGTACGTCTCAGAATATATAGAACCTCGCCACCAAATAGCACACTGACATCATCACCGGGACGTAAATCTGACGGACCAAGTCCCATTCGCCCGTCTTGAGTGATTATGAAACTTCTATTGAAGCCAAAGTTGCGAGCGAGTGCAGCATATTCCGCTGGAATCCCGCCTGATGAAGTACTGTTTAATGCGTCTATTAGCTGTGCAATCACGCTGCTGAAAGGTTGAGGATCAGAGATCTCTTGTGTGAGATCCAAAAGATACCTGGATCCGTCTGCGACTGTCTGGTCCCATAGTCGTCCATGTAGGCGGTGCTGGTCTGCAGTGGTAGTTCTTATAAAGTTGTTCAACCACTCTGTGACATTTGGTAGCGTGAAAAGCAACATTGCAGCCTCCAGGATACGCGCCATAGTACATGCAAAGCCCTCCGCAAATTCTTCCTTGGAAACACATGTTGCATTATAGCAGACGGCCCGTTCAATGGTGTCAACTCTTGCACCGTCAAGCTGAAGTGTTGAGTCATCTGATGACCTGTGCAGCTTCGCCCTTTTCCCTAAGGAGGCATTGTAGTTCGCTGGAAAGCCCACCCTAGCAGGCTGAGACTTATCTGAAGAGTGTATCCAAGAGAAGCTGACACGAATCCTCTTATTGTGTTGGTTGAAATCACTCCAATCAGGACACCACGTTGGCAAGGCTGGCAGTTCGTGTAGTCGAGCTTTTCTGGTAAGACTCCCTGTTGTCCCAAATGTTTTTAAATTTAAGCCTGACTATAGATTTCCCCAATGGTAATTAATTATCAGCTTGACAGGAGGATCATAAGAGTCAAAACCAACACGAGTGGTTTCTCCGTGTCGGCACCGGTATGGTCACCAGGCCAGGCGAGCATTTATCCAGAAATGACAACAAGGTCTCCAGTTATAGAGTATTAAATGTTCAATTAAAATTATATGTAGAAGTGAAAACACCCTAAACCCTCTTACAGCATAAGTCCATTACTCATGCACTCATTGCTCCCTGTCAGAGAATAACTCCTCTGACACTTTTAGGTGCTAGTTGCCTAGTAGAGACCGAACATGGCCAGGGCAACGACAGCCATAGCAGTGGAGAAACCGACCTGCTTGGCAGCGCCGTTGACGATGACAGCTGAGGGGGGGGGAGTAGATGTAGCCTAGAGATATCATTAGTGACTTATGCAGGAATGTAGGATAAACGGTCTCTTACAGTAACACCAACGGTTCCAATCTCATCAACAGAAGTGTGACCAGCCTCGTGAGTCTTGGTAGGATTGGCAGCATGAGTTGTCTCAGCAGCATGAGTGGCAAGAGTAGTATGCTCATGAGCCTCAGAGTGCCCAGCCTCAGTAGAAGTATGAGCATGCTCGGTCTCCTCATGCTCATGCTCAGAGGTAGTCTCCGCCTCAGCTTCCTCAGTAGCAGTAGCCTGCTCCTCAGCCTTGGTAGTCTCAACCTCCTCGGCCGCAGTGGTGGCAGGCTTCTCGACAGCAGTAGTCGAGGGCTTGGCCTCAGCAGCAGTGGAAGAAGGCTTCTCCTCGGCGGTAGTGGAAGCAGCGCCAGAGGAGCCAGAGGGGCTGGGCTTGGGAGTAAGACCGCACTCCTGGGAAACTCGGCCTACGGCGCTGCCGTAGTACTTCCAGATGTCGTAGGTGTTGGCGCACGACATGCAGCGGCCGTAGCGCTCGTTCCACTCATCGCTATCGCAGTAGCCATCGTCATCACGAGCGAGAGTGATCAAAAGACCTGTACTCCGTTAGAGAATATTACGTGGGAGTGATTGTTGGGGTTACGTACCGCAGTCTTCGTGGCAGGCGTACTGAGGGGTACCAGGCTGCTGTCGCTTGACGAGAGGGACAGTGTCAGGGAACTCAAAGCGGGGATCAATGGCAACAGCAAGAGAGGCAGAAGCCAAAAGAGTGTATGCAGCGAGAGAATGCATTTTGAACGAGTGAAGTCTAACGATTGGATGACTTAGAAGTGTTGAGATGAGGCTGTGAGTTGATGAGAAAGAGACGGATGGAAGGAGGGCCAAGGGCTATATATCTGCACAAACCTCATAGCACAGGCCAATTTTTCTCAACTAAGCTTAAGTTCGTTGACAATTCCGTCCCATGTCCAGCGCAAAGCAGGAAATTGCATTCCGGTCAATTATCCGTCACATCCCGAGAACACCGACCACCCAGCTACACCCTCAACACCACTGATTGGCCCGACGAGCAATTCATGACCTGATGCCAAGATAAAGTGCATACTCTAGACCTGTATATCCGATATCGCACCAACTTTAATCCTCGTCGTTATCCCCAAAGTGTTCTAGCTGCGGTCCTCGGTTAGCGCCTCGCACCAATGGGAGCGTCGGGATGCATCAAAATCTTATCTGATCATCTGATAAACAGGGGGGGATACTGATGTTCACCGGATTTAGGTGGCACACGATTGCCGGATGGGTCAATCAGATGTCAACGGCCAAGTGGTAGTGCATTTCTCTTGCCTCAAAGGGTTCAGTGGGTGAGCTTGGCGGTTCAAAAGTCCCGCAGTGTCACATGTACCAGGTGATGATGGTGTATCCGTGAAACGGTGTATATCTCGAGCATGATTTCCCCTCATCGTTGGGAGAGATCAGTAACCACGGCCTTCTTCGAGTATCTGCCTCGTCTTGTCTTGACAACGTGCACCAGTTCTGTTCATCATGTTGAAGAATCTGCTTGTTCTGACTCTGGCGTCTTTTGCCTTTGCGCAAGATGACATTCCTACGGATGCCAGTGTCCAGGATGAGGACATGGGACCTGCCGCTTTCATGTGGCCCCCGGACCGTGTTTGGTCTGGGGACATGGACAACAAGGCTCCTTGCGGTTCACGAGCATCTGCTGGCAACAGAACCAACTTTCCTCTGAGTACGTCAGCTTCTTACTCATTTCTTCTTGACACGCTTGTTTTGCAACAAGATTCGCTAATGTTACCATCCAGCTGGCGGTGCTGTCTCTCTTGTTGGTCAGGATGATTACTACAACACCAAGATCAGCATCTCTTACTCAGAGGGTAAGCAACCTCATATTTCAGCCGCCTATTAACCATACTGATTCGCTTTTCTTTCTGTAGACCCTCAGTCGAATGATGACTTTGAGACCCTGATCCAGGAAAAGAGCATCACCGATCTCAACCCAGGCCACACCTGCGTCCAAGTCCCCGATGCCCCATCAAAGGTCTCAGCCGGCGACAACGCAACTCTGCAAATCATCTACCGCGCCGACTGGGACGCACCTCACAACCAGACCTTCTACGCCTGCGCCGACATCACC